TCGTTAACGAATTGCTGAACCTCTTCCTTCTCACGTCCCGCTACGATCTCGCGCTGCTTCCGCTCGTTGGCCAACCGCTGCTCCAACTCCTTAGTCCGATCGCGCTCCTCCCTAAGACCCTGCTCGGCATTAGCGAGCGCTGCTTCAAGATCGCCTATTCGAATCTTATCCGCTTCTTGCTCCTCGCGTAAAAATGCGATCTCGCCCTGGCTAGATTCCTGCTGAACCCCGAGACGCTGTGCCTTATCGTTCGACTCGAGAAGTTTAACCTCGAGATCTTCGGATTCCTTGTTAGACTCGGCAAGTTCCTGCTCAAGCTGCTCTATTCTTCTTAGTTTCTTCTCCTGCTCATCCTCTAGTCTTATCAATGCCTCGCTCATCTGGCGCATCTCCTCCTGAAGGGCGTCGAAGTTCTCCGAGCGGTCTTGCAACTCAATCTGCAACCGCTGGATCTCCTCGGTCTTCTGGTCACTCTCGGCCTCCAAGGAATCAATTTCCTCTTGGGCCTCTTTCCGTAGGATATCGAATTCGGCTTGGAGGTCAGAGTGCTCCTGTAGAACTTCATCTCGCTCCCCTTGTATCTGTAATAAATCATTCGTCGTGTTTTGGAGTTCCTCTTCTAGAGCTCCGTTGTGGTCTTCAAGCTGCCTCTTAGACTCGCTGATATTATCCAACTCTTGCATACACGTCTGTAACTCACGCTGGAGCTCTTGCTTTTCAAATTTAAGCTCGTTGATCCTGTCGCGGTGCTCGGCAAGCTTATTTTCTAATTCTTCGCGATCGGGATCTTCTTCTACCGTCATAGTGAGTCTCGTACGGCCACTACCCCGGGAAGCCGAGCGTTCATGGCCGCCTACACGCGACGCCGATCGATCAAGGAGGCTATCGATAGTTGAAGTTGCTGGACCTCCGCGACGTTGAGCTAGCTTGAGGTCTTCAATCTCCTGATAAAGCCTCTCTTTCTCGCGGTTACGGGATGTCAGCATGGAAGTTTGCGCGCCAACTTCTCTCCGCAGCTCAGCGTTCTCGTGACGTAGCTGTTCGCTTTCTCTGCGGAGTTCATCAACCAAGGTTGCTGACTGGCTAGATGCAGTGGTAGGATCTATCTCCCCGGACAAGCCTGAGACGGGACGCGATCTTGATGGTGATGTTGGCTTGGCCTTCCGCGTGATATTATATATATTTGTTGTGTGGTGCATGCCACCTGGAGCAGCTGTTCCGTTAATCTCCTGTTTTATCCGGAATAACTCATCTCGCAGTCTCCGGTTATCATCGTCCGCCTGCTCGCGACGAGCTGTTTCTTGCTCGAGGAGATCCTTGTATACGTCAGCTTCCTCCTGACGACCTAGACTTTCGCCGACGCGCTCGCCAGCGCGGTCTCCCATAGACTTAACCGTTTCGGCTAGTTTCCTTTTTTCGGCCTGGCTAGCCATGTTCTCATTCCTGAGCCTTTCTATCTCGGTCACATATTCCTCGACGCGCTCCCTCAGATACAATAGCTCCTCTTCCCGTTCTTGCGCATCAGGATCGAAAGCCGGGGTGGTTGGCCCGTCCGAGGAATATCCGCTTCTCGCAGTGCTTGGTCGATCCTCCTCGTCGCGAAGACGCTTTTCCAACTCTTTTACACGTCGCCTAAGGATCTTATTGTCCCGCTGAATGACAGCTAATGACGTCCTGAGCTCAACATTCTCCGAGATCATTTCCTTAACACCTTCTTCGGAAAGTTTATCAAGACGATCAGAGAGGAACATGACCTTGAGTTTAAGATCAAAGTTTTCCTTGGACAGGCGCTCAATCGTGCTAGATTGTTCCTTAAGAGTAAGATTTTTGCCGCTACGAGTGTTGGTAGCAGTGGTAGTACTAGTATTTGCAGGCGTATAGCTAGACAGACTCGACACCTTCCTATAGGGCTGTTGTATCGGTGTTGCCAGGCCACCTTTCGTCTTGTATTCCTTGGCTAGAGATTCTGGTACCTCCACATTGCGCACGTGTCTAGCAATGACCGTGTCAGTAGGTGCCATTAGAGGGCCCTTCCTCGGCTTCGGAGTTGCAAGCAGATCGATACGACGGTCAGGCATAGGGCTTTCAACTTCTTCCAGAGGCTCCAGAGCATCCGGTCGAATGGGATCCGGAGACTCGTCAAAGCCGGACGCCATACTACCGATACTTACAGAGCGAGATAGAGTATTGCTAGCGCTCCGCGTTAAACCAAAGGCAGGCAAAGCACCTCCGGATTGGAGGGCATAGTCGGCACCTAATCCGACTGTGGCATCACTTTCGACATCTTCGTTACTGAGGAAGGATGAAGTTGAAGAGCGCTGGCTATCGTTCCTACTACGAAGAAACCTGGGACGCGTGCCAACCTGAAGAGAAATCGATGGTGTACTGCCATTGTCACCCGGTGGTTTACTCGAGTCCTGATCAGAGGTCTGCTGGTGGAGACTCGAAGCTCTGGAGCTGGAGAGCGACCTCTCTCTTGGTACGTTAAGAGCCAAGTTACCGTGTGATAGAGCATCGCGATCGTCATTTTCGCTCAGCGTCTCCTCGTTGGTACGTCTGCTAGCTACGGATATAGCTCTCGATACGCTACGAGCCGCGGCAGCAGTCGTAGGAGAGGATAGGTTCTCCAGCGCAGAGGTAGTATTACCAATTTCGACGGCGTTAGAATCGTCGTGGTTGCGTGAGGGGAGGGGGCTGTGATCTGGGGTCTGACTTGTTACGTCAGGGTCGATCTTAGCGGGGGTCGAATCGGCGCGTATATTAGGATGCGAATCGGGCTCGTTATGTAAGTCGGAAGGTTGAGAGGCTTGAGAGTCTTGAGGCACAGCATTGAATGCGGAGGAGGGAGTAAAAGAAGGCGATAAGAAAGGCGCGGATGACGGAGGATTCTTCTTTGTAGCATCGAATAGATATGTGTCGTCGATACCTTTCTCGGGGCTGGCGAGTTGAGTTGGCGAAGGAGGTAAAAAACTAGACTCGACATCTTCTAAATGAGCTCTGACTTGCTGCTCTTCGGTGACCGAATCGAGATGCTTATCGTCGTGGTCAAGCCGTGTAGTATCAACAAAGCTACTATCATCTGGTGGCGTTCGAAGGAGTACGGGCGGGTGATTTTCCTTCTTGGACAGGGGAGTGTCCGTGGAAACGTCTGCGGAAGCGGTGGCGGGATCCTGAGGGTTGGATTCGGGAGGTGCTCCGGTCGCGTCGTTGGTCGCGTCGACAGAGGTCGGGTCAATGCGACTATAGTCTTCGGCCATGGTTTCGGCGACTTGGTTTCAGCGGCTGGAGACTCGTATAGGTTTCGGTCTCAGGGCGGGCACATCCAAGTCCAAACCCGACTGCGGTACCATCGACCTAAGAGTAGGTAAAATGGGGATATGTAATATTGTAATTATGGTTAGCCAATGCCGTCAGCATACAGTGTAAGAATAACACGCTGGCGGCTCGGAGCAATGTCATATGGGTGGTGTTGAGAGTATAGACATATGTATCTACGTATAAGGTAGGTAGATCTTGAGTTAAGGAGATCCGAAAGCGTTTAAAGATGACAGGTTCAGAATAGACTGCGAGGCCGAAATCTTCTGATATCGATAAGTAACCTAAAAACTAGAGGGGATGCTATTGCTGTCGCTTGTCGCTACTGCTTATTTCTTTCCTCTACTTCAACTTCCACCTGAGGGGTATCTTAAAGGGCTGTATTAGGTAGATTTAGGAGTAGGATGCAAAAGTAAAATTCACAATGGGGCTTTCCACTTGGAAGTTCCAATTTCGTGGCTGCTTTTTTTCTTCTTCTTTTGTCCTTAGTTACCCCTTCTTACTTGCAAGTTACACTGACTGACACTCAGAAGTCGCGCTCGGTCCTCTCTTGCCATGGTACCTAACGTCGGCTAGACCGTTATCTTAGCGCTTGAATGTCCCCCTGTCCTGCGTTGCTAGGACACCAGCGGGAGGATCCACAGGTATCCGGTGTACATTTCAATTGCCCAATAACCCCTGAAGACGTAAGTACTCCTCTTACATGTGGCTAACCCATGTCTTAGATGTTCCGCATTCACATTAGCTTGGTATTGTATGCATGTCCACTTCATCATACGCCAAGGAGTTTGCTATGTATGGTATGGTACCAGGAAACAAACCTCGAACCTGATGCAAATATTAAAGTTGCAGGCCAGCATGCCGATAATAATGAAGTGTGAAGTTTCGGTAGTAAAAAGTAAGTGCCTGGACTAACTAATCGATCTGGAAATATATCAGATGATACACAGTACATACCCAGGTATATCTATACATAGTAATAGGTGGAAACTCCTAATAGTGTACATATTAGGCCGATTATATTACTTGACTCCCTTTACTTACATCTTTAAACTTCATCCAGTATTTACAGGTAAGATGAGAGATCCTAGCTATAACAATAGTAGGACTCATATCTTACAGCCTTTAGTTATTGGATAAGTACTTAAAATATAAACCCGAAGTTCTAGTCTTTCCGGACTATTCATCTCATTGGCTACCAAGTGCCGGTAAACCATTGATTCGGAAATATTTACGGATGGGTACTAATCTATAAACTAGTATCTATGATGTATCGATATAATATGACATCGATTTATCCTTTGATATGTCAACAAGTACATCTAAAGAAAGACTGGACAAGTCAAGCATTGGATACTATAGATCTAACATTCAAACTCACTTCTAAATTACTTAGCTGACTAAAGACAATCAATGTAGAGAAAGTGTTAACGAAATTTCAAAAGATTAAACACTGATTCTAAAGACTTGAATCAATAGGATTGGAATAGCACATGCAGAAAGCAATCCACCACGGATCGCGGACTTATGGATTACCTAAATTAGCAAGTGGGGTTAAATGTCGGTGATTTCTCAAGATCCACGCGATCTCCGAAGTAACTGTGTAGGTACTTCGTACCTACTGAATCTCTTTATTATTAATAAAATTAGGTACTACCTCGGACTTCCCAATTATTACCTACTAATGAACGAGGACGAAAGCTACAAGAAATTACATATAGTACTATTCCCACATTGCCCATCATCTAAATCCATAGGTACATGGTACCCTGGGTAGTTTCTAGATTTATCTTCCATTTTATAAAACTTCTCCTTATTAAACTTCAACAATGGGGTGGGCGTCTTGGCTGTTCGTCATGGAGGTAAGTCAGTAAATTGCGTGACACTAATGAACAGCACTGATATCTATCCACAGGACTATATTGTCGGAAAAGTATGCTCTAACCGACCCATATAATAATATAATTTAGGTAGTTAGGTTAGGTACCCAGCATCCTAACATACCGCGTTTCCTAGCTTCTGCGATCCCCGACCTTCCAGCGAGGCGTTCGACGCATCCACCAAACCGTGGAGGATTATAAACACGGACGAGACCCGAGCGAGCCCTTGCGAGAAGGAGAAGCTACTCGTAAGTGTTATTATAGCTCAATATAGGGATTACAAGATCTGATAGGATATGAGTAGGGCGGCCTTCAAACTCCAGATTGAGCGGGTTTATGTCCCACTTCGCCGACGAACTCCGTAATCAAGTTCGCGATACGACAATTCGCCGTCCTAAGAAATAAGCAATACTGAAAAGGGTAATAACCATATTGATGGTTATGAAAAATATATCGTGCGCAACTAGACGGTAAAACGGCTAGAATCCAGGGGGTAGCGCCGACTACTCAGTTAGGAGGATTTATAGCTCGTTTCGTTTGCCAGAATCGCCATATTACAAGGACGTTCAGCAATTGACAAAAAGGTATTCTGTCACGGCGGAATCGGCTGTGTCTGGCTTGCTAGGACCTGTGATACAGTTACTAAAGTCACTTCGCGGCATATTTAACTCGACAGTATGACCAGTATGACTCCATAGGGGTCCATAGATCCCTTACCATTCGCCGATACTGTGCCGCAAGACTGCCTTCAACCAGAGCTTTTCGTCACGCATAACTCCGGTATCATATCAAACTTAGCAAGTCACTCTAACCTGGCCACCGGTGAAGCCAGCTCTCAAACGCTTAACTTATCAGAAAGGATGGTTGATATTCCATAGATATAATCTGGAGTTATTTGGTATATTGAACTCAGAATACATTTGGAGAGAATATGAAGCTATGGTACACGGCAGGCATTTAAGTATCAACGACATCATTTTATCATGACAGATCCCTTGTCTCCCAGCAGTAACTTCGGAAGACCAACTCCAACTCCAACTCCTATTCACGTGTTTTGTTAAAGCGGAGGTGTACATGATAAACTGGTGGCAATGTTGCTCTGGAATGCCTGGCGCAGACTCACTATGCTGCTATAGCAGCCCAGTGCACATGTTACCAACGCGCCGAGGAAGTAAAATATGTTGAATGCGTTAAAGAACGGTTTTCTCATAAATCCTCGTCTCCATCGCTTCCACCCATGATCCACACAGTTGTACGTACCAGTCGCCGGGTCAAATCGTTCCTCGCCCTCGATCATTGCGTCCTTTTTAACCCAATAACCGATAGCTAACCACGCTGGGAAGGTGTAAGTGAAAGATAGGATAAAGAGCGCGCCGACCAAACCGACGATGTACGAAAACTGCGGTACGGCCGCTGCTATGATGAATGCAATTGCCCAGTATAACGGAATCAGTGCGGCCCACCATATCTTACCCGTCCTAGTTGTCAACTCCGGAAATCCTAGGAGCTCATGGAACACTTCTATGTAAACAACCTTGAGACCGATATTGCTGTATAGCACGGCCGCGATGAGGTTGCTAACCAAGCTCAATATATTTCCAGCCGTTTGTATGCCGTACGCCGCAATACCTTGGACTGCTGGGTTATACGTATACTGACCTTGGTATGAATACATGAAGATGCCAAAGAACATATACATCCCGTAGATGAATATCTCAGCGACGAGTAGACTCTTCCAGAAGTCCAAGGGGTGTCTAGCCGGCGTTAGCATAACCTTCATGGTTCCAGGCTAGTGCCCGATTTATAAAAGGGAGATACCTCATCTCGGCCAGGAGAGCTGCAAACAGCAATGCTCCCCCGTATGCATACACGGCTACATTTAAACCGTTCAAAGAAGCGACGAATCCCACGCCGCCTGTAGCCATTCCCGGAGGTGGCGTCCCGGCATACGTTCGAATCGGCATACCCGGCGACAAGCCGAAGCTCGTTTCCACTGCGGCATAGTTCGGACCGTATATCACGGATACCATACTTTCAGTCTAGTGAGTAAGGACAAGGTCATGCTAGTTTCAAATGCCTCTTACCATAGTAATATAAGTGTAACCGTTAGCCAGACGGAAAGATTCGCGAGCCAACCGAGCCGTTGGAGAGTTCTGATTTGACCCAAGACAAAGCCAGCGACCATGAATATAATCATACATGCCACAAAGCAAATACCCAGGCTCTCTCCAGATGAGCCGCGGCTGATTTGCGAGATACTCTGTCCATTGCTTAGAATGATAACCGATACATTTAGCAACAGTTGAAGCGCCTGTGCGAGGTTGACGAAGTGACGGGCCCAGGGACCAAACATGCGAAAGAAGAAGTCGCCGTATCCTCGGATAGGATACCTATCAGAGTCTAGCCCGCAGAAGATTTTCCAGAGGATCCAGCCCGAGCTGAAGTACCAAATCGTCAGACACGGTGAAATATGGCGGTTTATAGCATGTTTAAACTCACTAGTACGACATGGCGCCGAATACAGTATATAATGCAACACCCGGGCCGTAGCCCAGTTGCGCAAACGCCCAGCTGGAAAGAACTCAGCTTCGATTCCCATTATGCAATGCGTAGTAACTCACGGGGCTCCCGTTGGACCCAGTATGTCAGTCGTAATAAGATAGAAGACGGTACCCCAACTTGCCGTCCTCAATGCTCGATTAGCAGTCTGGCGTTGAGCCTCCGTGATCCCGTAATTTTCGGTGCTACCATTTCCGGCAACTTGGAGCGCATCGTTGCCGTGGCCTTTCTCGTCAGTTTCTCTGGAAATTGATCCAACTACTTCGGCGTATGCGTCTTGTTCCGCGTGGCCTTTAGAGAATCTTCCCTTAATCACGTTTTTGAATGTCTGCGGACCACGAGTGGCTATATATCTAGCATTGGCTTCCTCTTCCTGGGCCCGCGTGACTGCAGCATGGTACATATACTCTTCGAAGCTGACTTCTCGATTATTGGTATACTCTATACTTGCAGTACCGCTTATACCATCTCCTGCCTGTAAGGACGGCTTTCGAGGATCGCCGCCGTCAAGGGCAAGATTTGCTGGGGGGTGAGTAGCCATTATGATCGGTCACCATACGGATCTAAACCATGAAGAAGAATTAAGTTTAAACATTCTGGTCGAAGCGACTCATATGTATCTACTTTATCTTTCCAGACGATCACTGAAGGATAAGAGTAGTTACACAGAGACTGTCTATCTTACCACCTTGGCACCCCAAATAGATACCTACGCGCTGCATAATAGAGCTAGGTATAGACATATTACGCGAGCTGAGCTATACTACGATAGCGTAGTAACCTGTATAGGCCGGCAGATATAGCGCAGATATAGCGCAGATATAGCGCAGATAGAGTCGTGCGAGCCTCTGTAACCTTCTTCTATTAGTATTATGCGCCGATTTATCACATGCGACAATTTTGGAGGAATTGAGCAATCGCGCAAAGCATACCTAACTGTAGCTGTAGCTGTGAAATTCCGATTAGCAATTCCAAATCCTATTTGCTGCATTAAGAAAACGGGAGACTACAGCGACGATCGCGATACAAGATCGCATCGTTATATCAAACCCCACGCTTCTTCTCTCACCCTTATCAGCAACGATTACTAAATCTTTATTATATGAGACATCCAACATTCCATGTAACCCTTCTATAGCATAAAATCTCACAGCAATGCCCAATCATCATATTTGGCTGACCACCTCTCGGGTTGCGGGAGTAGAAGACAATGGTCTAAGGTGCGATGAAGCGTAGGAGGTATGCTTCTCTTACTAGGTACCGGTACCTGTCAGTCTCAATTGAAAATGCCAAGACCCGGCCATCAATTTTCGATTGCGACTGCTACATAGTAGTCTGGATACGGGTTTATACATAAATATCATTATCCGGAACGGCCGATTCCGGATCTCCAATGAAACCTTCTATTTCTACCTTAGCTAAGAGGTACCTAACGTATTACTTTAGGTATTGTACATATCCTAAGCCATGTTAGATCTGGGGGTTTCTACTAGGATTAAGAAAGCTACCTAATTCACGTCGTTATGTTTATCATATGGTGGCATTTGTCAACATACCCGGTACCTATATACCATGATTTAATATCGACATTTATATACATGTATAACAGTCAGCTATGATACGTATGACTTCTTTTTGCTCCTCGAGCTTTAGGCTTTATGGTAGCTTAGCCCCTGACCGAAATCGCGGGATATATACACCCCCTATATTCACGACAATCCGACGACATTGAAAGAAAAGTCTCAGTTGCGAGTCATCCGAGTAGGTTCCTAGAATCCCAGGATCTCATTCGCCAGCGAAGTAATTGTCTTTGCTCCGCTAGTGTCTGTTGTAGCTGGGTCGAATCTTTCAAACCCGAAGGCTCGTAGCCCGTCAACAGTAGCGTACGAACGAAGATGCGATTCGGTCTGCCTATTGACATGATCGGCTTCGCCTCGCCCGCCTGGAAAATCAGGGCCTGGGGTGCCGTTTAAGAAAGCGTTCTTCTGCCGTAAGAGATACCTAGCATTTATCTCGGTTAATGGACAGACCGGTATATACAACACGCTAGACTCCGAATTTCCCTTGTGCACTTTGTCGACGGCGTGGATGGCTAACCAAAGTGTTAGTAGGTTTTCATAACGCGGAAGGGTGCGGGTTCTCTTCGCTTACAATCACAATGCCACACTACGTAATCGCCCGGCTTGATATGCGGGACGTGCACCATGGTATTTTCGAGGTCCAAGTGTGGGTGGAGAGTGTTATCTAACTCTTGCCCATGTCCAGGAGTCGCGCCGTGGAGTTCACTCGTCATGTCAGCACCGGCATATTCCCAGTTCTCAGCGGCGAGATAACTTTCTGGGGACGCTTGATCGAGATCCTTAATGGGCCGGAAGAATGGACGAAGCAGCAAGTATGCCGTTGAGAGTTTGATTGCCGGATTCACCATAAGGGTTCCCTCGAACGGCTGTGTGTTGCTCATACTTAGCCATCCTTGAAACATTCGGAACATAGAGCAAGCGCCCAGCCCGTTGTAGTTATCAACTACGGCAGATACTCGTGTACTGGCGTCCCACGGATCGTACTCTTCCCAGGAACCTTCAAATACCTTATCATACACGCCACCACGGCCGTACCCGTTCAATTCCCACCTTTCAACACTACCCCCGTCAATATGCGGACCTAAAGCAAAGTTAGCATCACCAGGTTGCCTAATACGAAGACGGTCGGCATATGATAATGGCTGCGATGTAGAAATAGGACTTCCGGGATTCGATGTGCGCCACAGTTTCATGAGCGCCGCTTGGACTTTTAACATGTTCGGATGCGCCCGAGCGCGGAGTTGCGGTGCAGACCAATATAACTCATATACTTGAGGATCATGCGACGGGAAGGCTGATCTAGAGTCAGATAACAGAACGTACTTGGCTATTGCTGTGGTGGTACCTTTTGTTTGGGGATTTTGTCTCACATACTCCTCGATTTCGTCCTTGAAGGACCGAGCTTCGTCTTCCGGGAGCACCCCTCTAATGACAGCGACACCTCTCTTCTCAAGCTCGCCGCGGAGTTTGGTAAGATCTGTGTCTAAGTCCTGAAAGTTGAGACTAGGAATAATTTCGGGACCTCCTTTAGCGATTATTTTATTCTCATGTTTCAGCTCGGCGAGAAGTCGATTCCAGCTCTCAATTACACGATCCTCATGACCGCTAACCAAAGTCTTCTTGAGGTCAAGAAACCGCTGAGGAAGAGGTGGTCTAGCGGCGCCGGATAATGAGACAAAGGAGTCGGAAATATCACCCTCCCTTTTAGTCTGAGTTTGGGTTACCGTCGCCATGACTGATCGTATCTGGTGAGTGTTTATTGATAAACGCCTCGGAATAGTACGCAACATGATATTCGTGATAGTAGAGAGTAGGCAGGTAAGTATCTGATTAACTTCTTCTCAAGCTAGAGGATATAGGGAGCAGGTTGACAACTTCTACCATATTGTCCTTATTGAGACAAGATATAGAAAGTCACGAAGGAAGACGAGTCTATTATACCCTCTAGGTAATGCTATGTACGGTAACCTAAACATTAGTTCTGTTTGAATATCTTACCTACATCTAGGAGAGGAGAGTTTCCGGAATTTCCTATTTAGGCTCCTTGAATTCCGACAGCAGCGCGGCGGTTTTTAGGTAGTGCAACGCACCAAAAACGAGTATCGTACCTAATCCATATTATACCAGGTATATAAGCTAAAATCAAAATACATATGGAAACATACGTAAGTTGGCATTTACGTATTCCCGCGGTTCTAATTACTAGTCAAGTTTTAGAGTAAAAGAGCCGGTATAAGAGGTATCTTCTCCATGTCGATGATCCAATCAAATAACGTCGGAGTTCCCATTGTTACCGAGATTCTTGGGCGGGGCCGTTTGGACCTAGAAACGGAGTTACCAAATTTGGTAGATCCGCCTCCGCCTCTCCTAATGTTCATACGATGTCTACCAACAGCACAACGCGTGTACAAACCTACCGATCGATTTGTTCACAAGAGCTTTATAATATTTCCCATACGAATAACGCGGACGGTGCTTGCTTTCTATGTGAGTGCCTCGCTTAAATAGCGATATCTCTCAGGATCTTTTCGGCCATTACCTTCTTAGGTTATTCGCCGACATCCTAGTTCGTCCTTTGCTTTCTCGGTCCCGCCGTACTGAGAATGCCATGCTAAGACTTGTCCTCTATTAGAACTTTTAATACTATTTGTGATCAGCGTCGGAGTTGACACTTCTGGGATTTCGCCGCGGTTCGTGGCCATGGTTAGGTTCATCGAGTCCGACTCGACAGGTTTACCCCTTAAGAGGAAGCAGGTCGCCCAGGCCTGTGCCAGGTGCCGACGCCGGAAGAAGAGATGTTTTCATAATCACGATAGCGAAACCTCTAAAAATGGTCCGCCTAGTTTAATATCCGGAGAAGGGAATATTACGACCCGTAGTCCAACTGGCCACCCTACTCCTCCACGATGTGAGCCTCTCCGTAGTCCTAATGACGCTCAGAGTCCGGAGCGGCATGCTTCTAGATTTGTTGGCGATCTTAGCCCCGAAGCAATCCTCATGGAGGCTACGAGTCTCTGCTCAACTCGCGATGTATCAGTGAGGGGTGGCTTGGGGATATGGCAACCCCGAGCGCTCGACTTAGATAAAGTGGCCAATCCCCCTTCCTTGACATCGCCATCGCGACAAGCCGTTCAGGACATGCTTAGAGTATACGTGAGGAGTCATTGCCTTCCTTGCTGCCCTCCGCCTTCAGACTACGCGATTCTCCGCCGTATCTACTTTGACAAGCTGGATACCATCTTCCCTATCCTCGGTAGTCACTCAATAATCCAGTCCGACGACGAGATAAAAGAGAAAGTGTTAAAGCAAATAGTTAGTCTTGCAGCTGCTTCCGATCCCGAAGCTTCGCGTCATCTTCGTTTGAACCCCGAGGGGCCAGTCCTTTCTCGGCATGACTTTTGTACTCTGCTATCGGATGCAATACAAACGACTATCGACGCCGGTCTCATCGCAGACCGTATCTTCCTAACTCGCATACTAGCCGCTTTGTCATTATATATGCAGCCTCGCAGTCCTGAAGAAGCCGACATCCCAGCGTTGCTCAATGGCCGTGCGGTTCATCAAATGCATACTTTAGGGCTACAGATGGCTTCGGAAGAAAGCCATACAAATAGCCAAGCTACTCGTTCCTTATTGTGTTGTCTCTGGGCCTTAGACCGCCTTAATAGCGCATTTTATGGACGAGCTTGTCTCATTCACGAACGAGATATTGGTTGGAACCTGGACGATTGTATTGCAACGCAAGCACCACTCTTCCGACTCTTCCTAATGATTATCGGCCTCCTTGACAAGGTTATCGGTCTATATCGTCCAGGAAGTCGGAAAGAAAAGGAATTTATCATTGAGTTACCCATCTTTGAGCAAATGATCATCGATGCCGGAGCGGTTCGGGCTTCAAGCTCATGTCTAGGTAAGTAAATATCTTAACGACTAAAAGAAATTATGCTCATGTGTACTTGTTAGCCTCGCTTGAAATATTCTACCATTCGGTTGCCATACTTTCAAGCCAGTCGCCATCTGAAAATCGCTCCACTGCCCTCCCGGCGCCGGCAACAAACAGCCGTCGATCTTTGGCGGCCGACCGAATCACGTCCATCGTCGGACATGAGTTTCTAGGGCAGCTTTCATACCTGCCTATAATTCCGTACGGCGTCTCTTTGTCGCTTAGCGTATCGTACCGGAAAATGCGCCATAGTAATATCCCCATGTATAGAAGTAGGGGCAAGCAGTCCTTTATGGCGAATACGGCACTACTAAAATCGATGGACGACACTTTTTGGACCGCGAAGACTACAGTGGCAATGGCTGAACAAGTTCTGCAGGAAATGGACAAGGCGGTCGCGTCGATAACACAGGAAACTGGTTTAGCAGATACTTCAAAGAAGGGCGAGTTGGCACCGCGAGACCGAGAACTGCCTTCTCCGAGCGCGGACGATGCTCTTAACAATTACAATACTAACGGCAACGACTTTTCGATACTCGAAGAAGTCCCGGACCTTGATGTTTTCGGTCATTTTGACCCGACCTTCGACTTGGGCGCGGTAGACGCCGCCCTGGAAGGAAATCTCGATTTCGGAACCTCCTCCAACTGGTTTGACTGGCAGCAACTATGGGGTTAAATTCCGAGTGGACGCGTTTCTATTACTAAACATACCTATCCATATATACATATGCACGCACGCGAATATATAACGCGAGGTTCGTATGAGTTTACTCGCCTACCTAACTCACATATGTATCACACCCCTTGATTCTTACCATCATGTTCCTTGCATATGTAGGGTAACATCGGGACAACGAATCCCTGCCCCATTAAGCGGGTGCTGCATGGAAACTAACTCGAGTCTAGCATATATTGCATTCATATCTACCCAAGTATCTAAGAACACGCGCGGAACAGGAGGTAAACTAAGTTAGGACTATATACTATAAAGTGGCGATGATGGAAAATCTGCGCTCTAATCCCGGTGTAGTACGACAAACCCCGCAACGCCCACAGATCTTGCGTCCTGTAACGGAGACCCTGAGTTTTAGGGGAAGCCCTAGTATATCCAGGTTCCTGGTAGCCACCGTTGCTCGAAGTGATCATTTACATACATAGGTAATTTATGATAGGGGCGAATTTGCAACATATCTAGCTTCGAAACGTTCAATATCGTCTCTCGTGAAGCTCATCCACGAGGATGGCATCGTATTCGAGTCTCACCACCTCAGCCCCTACCCAAAAAATGGCAACGCGTACAGCCGTGGCCGTGAGTCTCGCGCAGATCGCCAAGGTCATCGACCATTCCTTACTACATCCTGCTATGACCGACAAAGAGATCCTCGCCGGCCTCGAGATAGCTAAAAGGAATAAGGTCGCAGCGGCATGCGTTAAGCCTTACAGTGTTTCTACAGCAAAGGACGTCCTTGACGGGTCGGGCGTTCTTATATGCGCTGTTGCTGGATTCCCTCATGGGAACAGCACCACGGCTATAAAGGTCCTCGAAGCTGAAGATGCCGTTAAGGCGGGAGCCCACGAGATTGACATGGTAGCCAATATAGGCAAGGTTCTCGGGGGTGACTGGGAATATGTGACTAATGAGATCCGTGCTGTTAACGATACTGTTGTGAAGCATGGCGCTATTCTCAAGGTCATATTCGAGAACGACTTCCTCCAAGACGACGACGTTGCACATCTATGCAAGATCTGTACGGCTCTCTCCGTGGCCTTCATAAAGACATCGACGGGCTTCGGGTTTGTCAAACAGCCTAATGGCTCATATTCGTCTGAAGGAGTTACCGTACCACGTCTACGGTTAATGAAGGCCAACATTGGGCCTCACGTACAGATCAAGGCTGCTGGTGGGATACGAACGCTAGACGAAGTAATGGGGGCCATATCGTTAGGCATTACTCGAATTGGTACGTCGGCCACTACTACTATTATCGAAGAAGCTATCCGTCGGGGGATCAACACTCCTCCGGGTTTCGCATTAGTGTCCCCGCGAGATCCTCGTGGCTGAGAGCGTCAATGTTGAAGCCTATGAAGTTGAGGATGGTATTATCCATCGTGCATCCAACTGGCCTTGTCTGATTCAGCAACATATCAGATGATTTGGGTTACTCTTAAGCACGATCACTACTACGTCCAGATATGATATATATACGTATGGGGTAGGCTATCCAGCATCATATTGCTACTATGTGGGCTCCCCGTGTGGGTTTCATCTTAAAGCTGTATATGGCAAGATGAATATTCTAATTAAGACGAAGCTGTAAAGGCTGCTATGCATCTAAGTAGTATTCAATAAATATTCCGACGCAAGTAACAAGACGTCAGAGAGATGATTATCAAGTTCTATTCCGTTTTCGTTATTTATACCAAGTCTAACCATATTTTGCTCTCCTATACTCCTACTAATACGTCTAGGCTGTATATCGTATTTCCCATTACGAGAACTCCCATTCTTCAACTTGGTGCCCCAAGTAGTCGATCTTGCCCAACGGCACGCCCTTGTGCCTCAGAATATCGTAGAGGGTGGTCAAATGGAAGTAGACTGTCGGCACCATAAATTTAGTTACGTCTGCGAAGTTATTAGCATTGCCAACCCGAATTTCAGAATCGCATCGAGACAGGAGCAGAAGTATTAAAAAAAGGAGAGGATTTTCGTTCACGTACTGCAAGTATGGTTAGCTTGTTTATCTCTAAAAGCATGATAGATGCAAGACTGTACTTACCAGTCTATAGCCTTTGCGCTGGTTTTCCGCGGGCCCACGTTAAACGAGATGACTTCGGATTCCTTTCCGTCAACATCCTCGGGCTTGATATCCGCTAGAAACTTGAGGACGTCGGCGATAATGCTATGGTTCTCCTCGAGCGACCATTCACCTAGCTGCGTAGGTACCAATTCCTTGCCTGCCAGCAGGTGGGATGCGAACCTCGCAAATAGCACCGTGACCCCGACCTGCTTCGAAAGTGAGAACATATCCGGGGCCAGACGAGCGGAGACGAGCTCTTCAATGGGCGTTCCGGTGCTTTTGGAGTATTCCTCAGCTTTTTTGAGAAGAGTCTGCTCAGTTCGGAGGGCCCGAGTTAGGACGGGGATAGTCAGCTCGTATAAGGACGCCATGATGGACTATCGATCAAGTTATCACTAAGGATTGATGCGACAAAGATGTTCGAAGCTACGTGAATTATCTTAATTCGATGGGAAGAGTAGTGAAAGATGTCAGGTAAGTTGTCAAGGTAAAGTGTATTGAATGTGTTCAGGCTGAATTGCAAATTATTCTTGATGTAGCTGGCCATTCTAACGTTATACTTTTATATCAGTAACATTAGTCGCTACAGTCTCGCCCCCCTCCCCCCTGATCTGAGAAGCGAATGAAACGTCGTCCTCGTCGCCGTCCTCGTCGTCGATCCCCTATGAAACTGTATCAGAAGTCCCATTTCTAAGCCACCGCTTACTAATTCCTCCGTTAAATGTCTCAATTATTAATATTATTCTATTCTTCTCGATTGCATGACAAATTTCTTTTTTCTTCGCTGTTCTTTTATTTCTTACCGTTTCACGACCGAAAATCATAATTACTAGCATATGGTCATTGGCGGGTAATAAGTTCCGATAATAGATATTTGGCACGGTGCAATTGGACAATTTGTAGACTGAAGTAGTAAAGCTACTGTATGTAGCTGGCATTCAAGGCTAACGACACGGTGCGATATTCTTGAAATAAGACGAGACTAATTTTATAATAAGCAGCGCAACTACCGAATACCTGGCTAGACTATAAAACATATACCACTTATTTGCGCGCTGGTCAAAAACATCTTAAAAAATGACTGTGCGGTGTAACCCCTATAAGGTGCATATAAATCCCGAACAACAAAATAAAGGCGGTTAATCCTTTGTAATCCAAAGCCAGATGACCGGCTTTTCTCCCGTGCGTCCCGTTCGTGAACGATCCCAGCCTAGATCTCTTAGCGTCTTGGCCATAGATTCACCATCGTCACCAGAAAATGTGACTCCCCTGTACCACTTTCCATTGCCTCCTTGAATCACCTCGGTGACCTTATTCTTCTTCGGCAAGGGGTTGAGAGCACCAAAGCCCTCTAGCAGCTGCGCCAACGTCGTGTTGACAGGCACATGGTAAGCCCCGAAGTTCATTGACATGCCTTCAGGAAGTCGCCAGGGGGCAGTCGACGATTTGACCACATGGAGCTTCGTGTGTTCGGGCGGGAAAAAGTAGTTGTACCCGGGCTCACAACCGACACCACCAGTAGAGTTGTTCAAGTTCAAAGCCGGGGCGTCGAGGTTGACAACGGGATGAGGGTTCGGCAGACGGGGTCCCTGGCTTGGAAACACCGGGACTGGGTGGTTATAGCCATTCTGGGGGATGACATAGACCGGGGCCTGGTTATTCGGTCCGGGGACGACGCCGCCCTGGCTCGGTTGGTAGTTATACCCGCTGGAACCGGTATAGACGATGCCAGGGACGATGTTGCCAAAGGATGGACTGGCATTCGCGTTTGGAGTCTGGTCCGAGCCGAACTGCGGGTGCCACCCATTTCCAAACGTCTGGGAAGCCATGATAGGTGTAAAGGCTGGTGTATAATGCGTGTAGTGCCCGGGATAATGCGCAATGTGAGTAAAGAAGTTATTAAGGGCCTCCTCTTGAAGTTCAGTGCCGTTGTATTCGTTAGGAAAGTTGTTAAAGTTAAGTTGTGTTTCTATATATTGATCTCCTTCGTCTATTGCAAAGGTCTCTGCCATAAAAGTTAGTACGGATACAGGTAAAGATCATAACAGGAGTAATAACCTACCAGTCGCGTTAGATGCGTCAGATGTTAAGGACTCAGAAAACTCGGTGGTAGTGTTATCGCCGTAGCCGACGAAAATCTCGATATGCCAGAGTTCACGGGCCTCGGAGTCGTAGAACGAGCCGACAACCAGCCAAGCCCAGGAGCGTCGAGATGGATGAATCCAGAAGTATTGGCCGATGGTGAGCTTTGTAGCCGGGTAAGGCAATTCAACTGAGGTCTGTGGAGAATCCAGCTTGAAAAACGAGCAGAACGTGTCTGCTTATATAGTTTGGAACCTGAGTTTAGTAACTATGCTAGAAGTAAGAAGCTGTGAGGAGAGCAGCAGTAATTTGTAGTGAGGACTGTGCATTTTCGCGCCCAGGACAGTGTCACGGCTACTGAACTATTGAGGTAGTGTCGTGTTTGCTTCTATCACAGTACGTCCAGCTACCAAGAGACTCAAGCGTGAGATGGTAGACCACAGTTATCTTCACCAGATGAATAGGGGGGCTTCGATGGTTAAGAGCATTCCACGAACAGACTCGGTGGTAAAGGCAGGAAGTGAATCACCCGGTAGATTCATCATCTGCTCAGTCACCCCTACCCAACTCGTCTCATGTGATAACCGCTCTTCTTGGGATGGAAGGTTGTAGTACATGTACCAAACCAGTCTGAATAACCACGCGTGCGAGATTACAGCGCGATAGAAGGACACCATAAAGATTTAACGTATAGTTGCCTTTTGGATTAAGTAAATAGTTATTACGTACTGTAAGAGAGTACGTCAATGTAGCGCCCGATATTAACAGTATATTTCGGGAACTTAAAAGCAGCAAACTATTCAATCGTACTGCTGGTGTACGAAAAGGCGGCAAAACCTAAATCAAACTGATCTCGGTTTCATACGTGGCGGTAATAGATCGTGTTGTCCAGTCACCCAAAGTCAGTGCCAAGGATTGACGCATTTCCAGCAAGTGATGAAGTGTGTTAAGAGCAGCCACTACTTGCGGTGGACGTGGGACATGACCGCAACACCACTGTGAGGGTTGGTCACTAGGGACAAGGTCGTTTGCATGATATCATCTTCGTGCCACAAGCACCGTTTTCGCAGACCTTGTCAAAAATTAATCCGAACACCAGGTCCAGTGGTAGCACAAACTTAGGACTTATTAGAAGTTTGCCAACTCGTCCAAAATGCGTGCAGAAACAGGGGAGGAAGGCGATTCCATAGTGCGTGTAGAGGCGAGAGAATCGATTCTCCAGCTAAGCGTCGTGAAACATCGTGGGAAATAGTACCGACAGGCCGTGCGAGTAGATACTTCGTCAATATGTAGTCGTGCCAAGTCTTAACTTCAGTCTACCACATTGATTTCTTCTTCGACCATTCGGACGGCACCTCCCTTCCTCCCTCCCTCTACCTCATTCTTAATCCGCCGTCGCTTCTCAACCTCAGACACAAGTCCTTTAAGGTAGACTTCAGCTTGTACGGTTGCGCTGTAGGCGATGGCGGTCCAACTCCAAACATTTCTTTTCTCGGGGTCGGCCCCTGCAGCAAGCAGAGTCCGTAAAACGAGGAGGTTACCGTTGCTACTAGCGAAATGTAGAGCGGTATTCCCGTCAAGATCCGCATTTTGGACGGCACTTTGCGCCCCTCCGGGCACGTACGTGAGTAGAATCTGCAGTACCGTATCATGACCTCCCATGCTAGCTTCCATGATAGCATCCCTACCTCGGATATCCCGTCGGAGGATGGATGTAGGATCGCTCTCGGCGAGAAACAAGACGACTTCCGTATGACCCGCGGCAGCGGCCAGCATCAAGGCCGTTTGATGGTCATCGTTCAAAGCGGGTGTAGGAAGCTCGTGACCGAGAGTAACTAAGACCTTGCATACCTGGAGGTGTCCAAGGCTGGCAGCAAGGTGGAGGCTCGAATTCGAGAGACCGGTTGCGGAATGGTCTGGGTTATGAATTATACCTGGGTGAGATTTCACAATGCGGCGAACGAGCGAGGCGTCATTGCTATGGACTGCTCGTCGTAGTCTTTCGGATGGCTCGATCCTAAGGTCCGTGATATGTGTTAGATTTTGCGGGCAATTGTTAGGATGTAGGACCGCTAGAATAACCGTACTTACATGGTGTTTTAGTATGCGAACGGATACCGTGGTGATGCGCAGTCGACGAGTCAGTCAGACTATGGCACCGCGCGGACGCCGGCGCATACGGCAACCGGACTTTACCTCCAACAAGCAGACACTCGCGAGCCACTTTTCTATACTTTACCTAGGTAGTTAACTATAAAATACCAAAATTTTAGGGCCTCGAATTGATGAAGAATTGGATGATTATCACGACGCTTATTCAAGGTATTGTACAGTCAGACAGTCTTAGACAAAACATAAGCAGAAGCTGACGTCGTCCCGTATTAGGTATTGATAGATCCCCCACAGAGGTAAGCGCAGGTACTTATCTAGGTTAGGTACCTATCTTGATCTACCCCACCTACGTAGCATCGTTTCAGTTTGACATGATTACATATCCCTGCTTCCCGCACACCTGCAGAACAGCGTCAAAATAGATGACCCATCCCCACCCAAGCAAAATAATATACGCACACATTTGACAATACAATCTTTCAACCGAATCAAAAGGGAAAAAATATTAAAAAATAGTACCTTAAACAAAATTGATTAAATATCATATTATGTAAGTTTTATCTAGTTTTTATAAAAGTCGGTAAAGTTATTCAAGTTAAAACAAAGGATTAAAGTTAAGAAATTAAATGGGTCATCTATTTTGACGCTGTTCTGACCTGCTAGGATATATGTACCCAGGTACCTGGAGATATGCATCCCGAACTCATGAAGTCTTCAATATTTCTCTCTTGCTATGCTACGATGCATTTGTCGCTTGTAAACGCGTGTCTCGGAAGGAAGCCGTATATATTAAGAGGCAAATACCGCACCTTCACAGTGTTTGTTAGAAATGTGAGCTAAATACTTTAGACCATTATGCGTCAGACAGTTTTAGGTCAGCTTGGTCCTAATGACTGTATATCTTGGTTAGAGCAAACTATGTGAGTAAAGTCTACAAACTCAAGTCGCAATTTCTACTGTGTACGCCAGTTTCTCTGAATGGTCGTCTATGAATAAACAAATCCCTGCTCAAGGTGCTCTGTTGTCTTCAATAGTTATATATCTTCAACTGATCTCTTCGGTTCTTTATAAAATACTCTATGATACTTAAATATCTTTTAGGAATTTCTCTAGCTAGTTATTATAGATATAACCTATAGCCGAGATTTCGAAAATGGTAAACTCTACGACTATAAGTATAAAGATCATATATTTATCGAGATTAACAGAATATTTAGTGCGGACTCAGTAAGGTTATATTGAAGCGTATAGTAACAAAGTCGTAAAAGCAAGCCATATCTCTTTATATAAAGTCCTATGTAGGAGTTTATGCTAGTTAAGCCGACAACTGATCGAAAAGTCGCGATTTAAATATAACTAATGCACCTTCGTATAGTTATAATAATATAGATAACACTCCCGTCTGAGAGCAAATGTTTAGGAATTAGCTAAGTAAAGTTCTATAACAGACTTGATCGGCCTCCAAATGGCATTGTGAATATGCTGTTGAGAAGTCAAGTATAAGTCTGCGCGGGCAAGATTAAGCATATTAAGCATTATACGTCCAAGTTTAAAACGGTAAACCCTCCTCGAGCTCATTACTAATTAAATATTCAATTTTTATTTCCAGTATCAGAGCAATCATATACACTGGGAAGCTACACAGGGCGACATCGTGGTTATAATACTGTAGATAAGATGGTTCTGTTAGTTTATGCCCCCTAGAAATCACCACTGTGTGACAAGGCTTAGAATCAAGGCGTGGGTTACGTTTTGGAGAGAGCGGAAATGAACGTACGGTAGCTTTGCTAATGGCCTTCTCCTTCCCCTTCCCGCATCCTGAGAATCGGCTTATCTAGAACGATTTATTGAACGGTATTGACTTTCACCCTGACCAGGAGGCCTCATGCATACCTAGGTATAAAAGCAAGTTTGATAAGGTGGTGTCGATTGAACGGCTGAGGTAAATCGGACCGTCCGCATGAGGTGGGCGGTAATTGGATCTACCTTGGTACTATTACTGGGCTTCCGGATCCAGATTGCGGGGGAGATATCTGGATATAATTCTTACATGAGGGTTTATCGACGCTATTACTTAAGATGGTATCGTATTGCAGTAATATAATAGAAACCTAAGAAAGAGGTCATGGGAAAGAAGAGAGGGTGTGTCATGAGTTGAGAATCGCTGACGGTACGTCGGCTAAGCTGTAGCCGTTAAAAGGAAAGCGCCGGCTTGAAACGGCTTTGCTCGACCAAGCAACCAAGGCAGGATGCAAGATCATCGTGGGGATCTATGTACGTAAGAGGCCTAACTATCTGTAGTCTTGACCTAATAAAATTTGGTATTCTTCTTGTACGCCGATGCCGGTGGTAGTTGGAATCTCTACTATAGTAGGGGGACATATTGGTGATGACGAGTTGCGGCGGTAAGTTAAGGACAAAGATGTTTTTTTTTCCCTACCGTTTTACGTACTACATTCTTGGTACCTACCATGGGATAATGCACCTAAGGTTTTAGGGCGTTACAGTGGCTTATTTAGGTAGGTCTAGGAGCATATATCTCCATGTGGCTACCCGGATTGATTAGATTACAGTGCATATAGGACCTGTAGGCCACCGATATGCGATACGTTGCCGGTAGTTTCCATCTTAACCCCCACCGCTCGGTACACGGGTTAGCCTTTAAAAGCTTAGAACGTATATGCACCGAAGAGGGACGCGAATGAGTAGTGGAAGAAACACAAGTAGCGCCGCTGTCATGTGCCAGAAAATTTATGAGATATCGGGCAGGTAGGACCGACTTTTAAGCTTCCAACAATTCCTCGCTTAAAAGATTTTTGTACTTATAAAAGACTTCCACTTTCAACACTTACACTCTGGCATACTCTCCAATTGCTGCCATTAGATACCTAGATAGGTTGGATTTTTGTAGACCGGCGAACTAGTTATAATAACCGTCTCCCGACTCGATTACATATCACCAGCACTACTCCCCTCTTCAAACAATATAGGAAACGAGGCTAGCAACAATGAACACCTCCATGGTCAAGTCCAAGTTCCTTTCCCACCCCGAGGACCTCGGCGTCGTAGCCGTCGGTTTCTCGGGTGGTCAGGTATGATGAACTGCAATTGCTATAACCATCCCCCCCCGGAATATCGCAGAAGCTTACAAGATGGTTATTGTTCACTTGCAGTGTAAACCTGGAGTTGACGCCGCTCCTTCGGCTTTGATCGAGTCTGGATTACTTAGCCAGCTTCGAGACGAGCTCAACTATAAGCTACACGGCCACGACACTGTACACTCGTACACCGATCTTGTCCCGAAAGAAGACCCTCCTTTCCGGAATATGAAGAACCCCAAGGCCGTAAGCAGCGTCACTGAGCGTCTCTGCGATCAGGTCTACGAACACGCCAAAGAAGGAAGAATGGTTTTGACCTTAGGTGGTGACCATTCCATCGCAATCGGCACCATCGCCGGTTCAGCCAAGGCCACGCGGGAACGGCTCGGCCGCGAGATCGCGGTTATCTGGGTTGACGCACATGCCGACATTAACACGCCCGAGACGAGCGATTCCGGCAACGTCCACGGGATGCCCGTGAGTTTCGTGACCGGCCTCGCCAAGGAAGAAAAGCCAGAGTACTTCGGCTGGCTAAAGCCTGAGCATCTCATCAGCGTGAAGAAGCTCGTATATATTGGTCTGCGAGACGTGGACCCAGGCGAGAAGAGGATCCTTCGCGAGAACGGCATCAAGGCATTCAGCATGTTCGATATAGATCGGTATGGACCTCCCTTTTCATAGTTATGTGCTCTCTAGAAACGTGCTGACATGCGACTGCCCCTTGGTATAGATATGGTATTGGTCGCGTCGTGGAAATGGCGCTAGCACATATCGGTGCAGACACGCCAATCCACTTGTCCTTCGACGTCGACGCGCTCGATCCGATGTGGGCACCCAGCACGGGTACGCCAGTCAGGGGAGGATTAACGTTGCGCGAAGGAGACTACATCTGCGAGAGCGTTCATCTGACAGGAAGCCTAGTGGCCGTGGATCTCGTTGAAGTCAACCCGAGTTTGGCACCGGAAATCGAGCTAGGAGCCCACGAAACGGTTCGTGCAGGATGTTCGCTGGTACGATGCGCTCTGGGTGAATCTTTGCTATAAATTGGTTAAGATCACGAATGCGGTTAGGGTCTGTCCACACCACAGCAAATATGAGTTTGTCGATCCATTAGGTATGATACTTGGGATCATCACAACGGCGGTTTAGTATATAGTTATACGGGATACGTATGTTAAGACATGTTCTGGGGATTGGTTAAACTAGACTAGACGGCGTCTACTCATAGAGGAGAGGAAATGGGCAACATGCCTTAGCAAATACGTCCAACAGTAAAAGTATATTGGTCGATGGGTGATTTAAGTAGTTGGCCGAAATAAAGTTAGGCATCGAATCATCACATGGTAGAATAAAACGTGCGAGGTCGGGTAACACCTTAATACATACCTGTATAAGTACATCTATGTATATGATACATCTATATATCCAGGGGTCGACCCCAACTTTAGGGTACCGGTAGCATGCCAGTCTTGGCAGACGATATATCACAGCACGGCTTTGCGCCTTATAAATTACCAGCCACCGTAGTTTTCCTATCACATTTTTCCCTCTGCAATTTGATAGGCGCAAAAGTACAAAAAAACGTCACAATGTTCCTCATAGGCTCATACAGAATCGAGTGGTTTACTTATTGTTAATGCAAATCTATAAGCGCTATGTAAATTGTTGTTTCTTTACTCTCTCCTCTATACTTCTATGGTCGTACAATATTTTCTCGAATTATCTGGGTATTCATATGAAACCTCTAGTATTTGCTGATCTTTTATATCTTGGTCCCGATAGAGGTAGGTATTGTACTTAATCAGCTATAGGTACCTCCGGGAAGTAACTAAGGTATTGTACCTACGATACACCAACAGGTCCCGCTCGTCCCGCTCGGCGTCTCGGTGCGCTGCCGGAAAAAACACACCCAGTGCCTTGTTGACTATTACGAATATTTCGTATTTTAGTCTGTGTAGCTGTAGTTCCAATTCCACAATCTATTCCTCGCACGACGACGACGACGACTCGAGGCCGTACCACGTATTTCTTTTCTGCGCGAGCCTGTCTGACAGCGCACTATCGAAGGCGGATGCGCTTAGTCTCGCGGGGCTCCGGCGCCTGCATTTGCTCAGAAAAGGCGACCCAATCAGCCCTCTAGCACATCGATCGACCGCGTGCAAAAGCAGCTCTGAGCTGGCAGTTCGCTGTGGTTCTAGCTTCGTCAGGCTTCTGCGGGTTAGGCGATTCGGGAAATTAATACAATTATAATAATTATAATTGCAATTAACTATATGACGACGACGTCCCTCGAATATTAGAGCTGTTAGGTATCGCCAGAACCGCCGTCGCAAACCCAATTCCTGTTTGGACAAACGACGTGCTAAGGATATATAAATAGGCCTCATTCCTTATAACGGTTCAAGACACAAACGCTAGACGGGACGGGCCCGGGAAGGACAACAACGCTGTCGGATAGAGGTACATATTATCGGGTGGAATATCTCGAGTCCTCTTGGAAAAGACGCTCTTGTCGAGGAGGGGAGCGTCAATTCGACTTCACCCTTAGAAAAACTAGGACGAGCGAATAACCAACATTCGCATTACAAGCCTTGGACGTGGAACGAGACGAACTCGACTTTGTTAAAGCTCCAACCTCGCATTGCTTGTATTCTTTATAGTCAAACGCGCAAACGCAAACGCAAGCAAACCCCAAATCTATATAATAATGGCCGCATCAATAGTAACCGGTTCCGACTCGGTCGTCTACGAGCGCCGGATAGCCCGCATCCATAGATACCACTGGCCCGCTATTCAACTTAACGTATGGATGCTCATAATGCTGGCGGCATCGTGCTGCATCATCGGTGTCTTCGCTACCTTTATCGGCGTCCAACAACAGCTGGAACTCTATGTTCCCTGGTGAGTAGATCTCATACTATTCGGCTTCGGCTTCGGCTTCTTAATCGTATGTAATGGGATGAATTATTTTCTAACTCAAGTCTATTCTTGCGCAGGTACTTCCCTTACTTTATCACCGTCTCAGCATTAACAATCGTCTATATCGCCACGCTGCTATGGCTTATAGCCCAACGACGGCTCCTCCCTTCCATAGTCATACTCGGCTCCTTCATGTTCTTCGTGCTCTGGATGGTAGGGCTCATCGTCGTCAGTATTGAATTATGGGGCCCCGTCGGTTCCGTCAGCTCGAATTGTAACCTTTTGGTATGGAGCACGTCGCCGACGGGAAATAACCAGGGGACATTGGCGTGGTTGGAGCAAAGATCTATATGTAAGCAATTTCCGGGCTTGATATCTTCTAACAATCATTTACCGCGTGTCTACTCAATTTTTGCTTGGTTGCTTGCTAACACTTCGTCGGAAGGCCAATCGTGGCAAGCAGTTTTTGCTTTCGCTCTGATCGGGTGCATATTTTTACTATGGATCATCGTGATGGCGATACAGGTGTTTTACGATGACGCCTAATTTATTACGAGATGTACGACTTAACATGCGGGTTTATGTGTTATGTCTCATGGGCCAGCTCTACTATGCCTAGAGCCTGATTATTATTTTTTAAGAGCAAGACGATTGGCTATCCGACGAAAGTTTCCGGCGTCTCGGTGTAAAGACGTTGAGTTTGAACTTTTTTTATTTAAATGAAAAAAATGTTTTCTATTTGAGAGATATGCCCATCTTTCTTGGGTGGATTAACCAACCCATTGCCTCATACCCTTTCTTCGATTAAGGAACGACGATATACTGGACAATCCAGATGTCAGTTATGACCCTCCATAGCTATTTGTTGGTAGCCTCTCCACGTGAAGGATTGATTAGATATTATTATAAACACAATATATCCTCCCTCATAACTCGACAGCACGATGTTCGCACCTAGTTGGAAATCTTAGGGTTGACTTTGTTTCTGCGTGCCAGATAATGTTAGTTTCTGGGAAGATTTTGGAGATTGAGTGGCCTTAACGTACCCAGTCGTCTTCTCGTACAAGTTGCGAGCCTTATCTGTGCCGCTTTCTAGTTGCGAGTCGGAGACTTTGTTTCCCTCCTTCTTGTTCAAGAATCCAGCGACTAGGGAAATATGATGTTAGACATCTAACTTCAAGAGGCAACTTGCGCAAATGGGACAACTTACTCTTATCTCCGATATCCTTCTTCTCACCGGTCTGTTGGGCACCGGTGTTGCCAGTGTTTTGCGAGTTACCGCTGGCGAAGTTCTTGAGGGCATCCATTGTTGTTGAATAGTTGAATGAATACTTGAGGTAAGTAATAAAGATAGATTGTATAAAATAATTGTTTGTAGTTGTTTGGAGTAGCTTGAAAGATCAATGGTAAATATCTAAGAAGATATCCTTAGCTTTATATACCGTCGTATGTAGCCTCGACTCTTTTACAAAGCTCACCGCGTTCGGTATGTCTGACATGTGTGATGACGTTCACCAGATGCCAAGGTACGTAATTCAAGGTCTAAGCCGGATCTCGATCTATAGATTTTCCCGAATGGCTACCTCACTCAACTCAATTACCTTAATTTTTTCTTGTTTTACAGTGTCTCGGTTTGATCGGATAAAATGGCATAGAAGGATCATCGGAGAGACACTCATTGTCTTACCATTGCTTCCATTCCATGAACTTGTACAATTACCATTACCAAAATTGGTAGGCATTATGTAATTGTCGTAGAGTTGTGTGATAGTACCGCTACGTCATACTTATAAGAAGACCCCTGACTATAGAAGCTAATATACAAGTTTTAGCAAGCGTTGAGATGTCATTGTTCCGAGTGCGTGCATTAGTCTAAGACTATTATACATAGTCGTTCCAAGTGGGAGATCCCGTTGCCATTTGTCCAGGGGTAAACGGAATTCATCGTATCAAGCTCTCCAATGCCATACTAAGTCTACGTAAATGTAAAAGAGAATAGGTCAAGTAATAAAATAAAATAAAATAAAAATGTTGAGGCACTTTCTTAATTTTGCTACCGCAGGTAGCCCACCTAGAGACTTTCATGTTCGTCTTTAAATACACCATCCAACGCCGGTTACCCAGGACCAATTGGCCATATGCTCGAGCTCATCTGCTCCACGCTGGCATGCCAACATTTCAATGCCTTAACCCACCCTAACGCCGTCCTCGTATTGGTATATCGACGATGTTATACACTAAAGCTCGTCATCTAAAGGGTATGTGTCATGATTAGTTACTTTCGTCCTTCGTATCTCCCCTTCAAGATAGCAAATCGTCAACCCAGCCCATAATTTCTCTTCGGTCATCCGCAATTCGCGCATATTCCAACAGCAACCGTAGCACATAGATTTGCATGTCTTCTTTCCTGAGAACCTTTTCGGCCCAGGCCTTTCCGTCCGTCGCGATCTTCTCGGCTACTTCGTCGTGTCCAGGAACGCCGTCGTTGTAACCGAGGAAATATTCCATGATGCCATAGTAATCGCTGAATCGGTTATCCATCGGCACGAAGTGCTTCCAGGCCACCAGGCGGCTGTCATGCCATTCGCGCCAGAGCGTGCTCTTTATGGGCAGACTTGTACTTCGTAGGAAGCCTAGGTAACGCCCCGAGAAAGAGTTGCCATCGATATCGGGCAGATACTTGTAATAAAACTGAACTGCTAGCTTCTGACCCAGTACCGTTTCGTAGTGCTCGTCAGTATATATACAATGCCCGTCTTTCTGCTCGGGCTCTATGTCAGGGTCGCAGAATAGGTCGGTGAAGCCAACATCAGACCACTGCGATACCCACGCACCCAGCCGCCTCTCTTTTTGCGCCGCCAGGTTGTAGGTGGCGCTAGGCAGTTCGAAATTGATTGGTGGTTCGATATCCTCCTCGGCGCGCTGGAGTTTTGTTCCGTTGTTCATCGAGACGAATCGATGCCGTTGAAAGCCCTTCCAGTTCGATTCAGTGTTGCGGCCGCCGGTAGCCACGCCGCGCCAGATGAGAGGGCCGATCTTATTATCCCACGACGGCCCATGGTCGTCTCCTCCGGTAAACCTTTCTTCTTCATTCCAATACATGGGAGCCGGAAGAAGAATCTCGTTGTTAGTGGCCAGCTTGCTTCCTCCAAACATCGGGAAGAGAACCTTAGTCGCGGACGTTGTTAGAGGCCGTATGAAGATACCTTCGAGTCCTTGTAGATCGGGCTGATGGCAAAATTCGGATGAGAGCGTGGAGTTGGCCACATATCCTTGATACTGGTGGGGTGTTGCCCACTCCGGAGAGAAGCTGGGTTTGCCGTCGAACGAACTGAGGGCGGGCTGTTTGCGGGCGGGACTATCAGGAGGACAACCTCGACGAGCGATTAACCAGTACGGGTCTATAAACTGTTAGTATATACAACTGTTCTCCATGCCTATCCTAGGGTAGCAATGAAGGGTTAGTCTTACTTGTGTCTTCCCAATCCTTATCGACAGTATGAAGGGACTTGTCCTCGTGTTTAACCGGAGGTGGTAATTTCTGGAACTCGTTGACGATACTTTTAGCGGGATTCAGAATTCGGCTCTGCTTTTCCTTCTTCATGTAGCCATTGATATCCTCCCACGGCACTACAAGTCGCGGTTCGTCCATTGCGTTTAGAGCAATATCCATATCGGGTAGCAAATGTTCGATAGTCTGAATCATGTCTAACCATATCTGAGTCCAAAACCAATCGCTCTCGGCGCTCGCATTGCCGTTGCGTATGTTGATAACCATCTCGTAGCCTACAGCTTCATCGCGAATGCTTGAAGGTTCCAGACCCCAAAATGGGTTCAGGTCGTGGTAGATCTGATCAAAGAAATCTTCGACTATGAGTGCATCATTCTCCTTCGCGAACTCGTACCACTTATCGAAGCCCGGAGGCGGATGCCGCCCGCGACGTTTACGATAAGCTTGGGCAGCTTCAGCTAGCGTGTTCGACTCTTTAGCTAACAGGTCTTCGAAATCTTTATCAGCAACCTTGATCAGCTGGTCGATAGGGTGGTCCGTAGCAGGTTTCGGCGGAGCGGGTTGGGCAGGTTGGATAGGTTTCGATTCGTGTACTGGCTTGTCTTCCTCGTCTTGATTACCGTCGTCTAGATCTCCGTGGACGGGTTTCTGATTGGTAGACGGATTCTTGGCGGATTGATCAACAACGTCAGGTGTCCCATGGTCGTAAGAAGCGGGGGAAGATGACGATAATGAGGATTTAAAGGAATCGCGGTCAGAAGTTAAATAGGTATTAGGTGTTTGAGCCTCTTGGGGCTTATAGGAGAGGTAGTAGAAGATGCCGAGGAGGAGTGCGGCCGGGAAAATGTATCGGACGAGGTGAGAAGGCCTCCTCGGTGGAAAAGCGGGCGAGCGCATGGCAAGGGAGAGACGTCAGCCGCCTTAAAGACGGCGCCGAGACGTCGACACTGCTTCGGAGATGGGACGAAAAGTTTCGTAGCGCGCTCGAATATGGTAGCACAGTTCGAGTAGAGTTAAGATGGGGAGGCTCCCGGTCTGGCTTAAAAGTCAAATGTGTCGGTGTCGGCAACGATAGAAGGGGAAAATCGGTAGAATAGAACGATATCAAAACTTTGTTTTCGCAACAAACGATTGGATGTTAAATGTTTACAAGGAAAGGCCAAGAAAGAAAAAAAGATAGTAAACGTAAAAGACAGACGAGAATACACTAGGAGTAGACAGGTTCAATCCTTGAATATGTAAGAGAGAGAATAGGACTCGAGGGAAAATAGGTATTATGAGGAGATAATATGATACAATTATTGAGGCGGAGTGGTGTACATAAATTCAGTGGGCAGATCTGGGTGACAGGTTTTACTAACCATGTAACTTGACTACATGTATCTCATGTATCTCATGACAGGTACAAATTGCGCTTTGGCTTGTCTTTGAACATTGGAGGAAGAATTAGCTGGAACAGAGTTTCGTAAAGTTTGCCAAATTTGTTAAGTTTGCTTGGGCCCGATGCGAAAAGTATAAAAAAGAGACATTGCCTTCCATGGGTACAGATAGATGGGCTTATTGGGGGAAATTTGATAAACTCGCGAGCGACGACGCTTCTAGGCAAAGGTGGGTTAGTCTGCAGGTAAGCTCACCCACATTGGTACAAAGTACGATACAAATGGATATGTATGTACTGTACATAGAAGAGGTATGTCGCACAATACGGGTCTTACCGTACTGTACATGTTACGGACCGTGGGGCTAAGGGATGCAGTAAATTTGAATACCAGCTCCTTGGGCCGTACAGAGGCCCTTGAAGATATGCCGGGAGGTCACCAACACATACATATTATTATAATTCCGGGAAGATGTAACAATATATAATAGGTTAGGTACCTACGTGTCCTCTTCCATATATATACCTATAGATCAAGTATATTTCTTATATTGTACAAACACATACATACCTATATTAATCTGTCACGGCGCAAAGTTATAATCATTCTCCATCTTATCTCAGAAGCCTCCTTGGCACATCACACGCATATGTGGCTCTTCTAATCTCTACCATGCAGCCATGATAGCTGAAGCGGCACAGGCTCTGTGCGCTCGCCTAATAGAAAATAGTGTATGAACAGGGGGGGGCCAACACCATATTGAAAAACGTGCAACATTTCTAAGTTTTCTAAGTCTCCACAATTTCCGTTAATCCCAACTTGCTTCCGCTCATCACTTTCCTTATGTACATCCTCTAGGCGGCCCGATCGATTGAACATCTCTGTACCAGCCCGGTGGGAAGGGGGAACTTCCATTCTGCCACTGTAACAATTTATTGTCACAGGACCGAGCCGATCATTGGAGACAGCTTCTCACGGAGCTCAATCTCCTTTCGTCTTTATATTTACAGACAGGTAGGAGGGAGATACCTAATGGATAAGTATGCACCTAAAGTACTACTACCCCAGATAAAAGGTTACATAAGGGTAGGTACATGTATGTACCTTGTGTGCCTCCCAAGCTTAACGTTCTTCGATACATAGAGCTAACGCCAAGCTAACCCCGCGCTAACCTCAATTTCAGACGCACCCCAATTCCATCTTCTAAATAACAGCATCAACGTTCCAGAAACTCGATAGAACGGCTCGTTAATCATCAAGATAAAGTTTCGATTGGGCGTATTTAAATACTAGCCTCATTAACACTATCGGGCCTGCTAGGTGCTGAGGCAAACATGGCTTCTTATTAACCTATTTTACGGTGAGATATCGTATCGCAACGATTTGGGTTAGGGTTATGTAAAGCCAAGCTGATATCGTCAGCTTGTTGAGTGGGCTTATTTTGCTTCGGATAGCTCCAGGGTGCCAGCTCGTAAAAGAAAAAGGGCGTCTCTGTAAAATTAGAGCTTTGGGACTTGGATTATAGCACGGCTCGTTATATGGAGCTGTAAAGCCCATATAAAATAGATAAACGCGTGCTATAAGGGTCACGTTCTCTTATACTCTGTCGTCTCGCCATAATGTCATGATCTCTCTAAGAATACGAGTACCTTACCAGGTTTACAAATATGTATGTATGTATGTATGGAGGACTACCAAGCTTGTCAACGCCAAGGTCAGCCTGGAAACCTCCAGACACCAATTATGATTGCGCACGTATTGCGGGTCTTCGAACCATAGTAAAATATAACATGGCCAGGCGGCGCAGAGAAGTTGGCCGTAACCCATCTTGTCAACACGTATTAACGCCTCTAGATTCTTACAATCGTACATTATGCGGTCTCTACGTACGGTAATCCTGTCACTTACCGCAGGAAGCCCAGATTGTGAAAACGCCATCTCTCGTTGAAATCATTCGGAAGCCAGAATGTTATCTTCTATGGCTAGCTCGTTGTGGGTGCGAGCGACGAGTTCGTGAAACTCAGGGCGGAAAGGCCACTCCATCCAGAGCTCTATAAGCTCTTCCCACTGCCGCGCATTCAGCATCCTCGGTGTCAGCTCTAAACCTTTTATCTTATTAGTCACTCCGCCGTGTCTCAAGTCTCTGGCGCTCTTCCAACGGGGTATGATGTAATCGGCGGCACCTGGCATGAGGGCATCCAAAGCTTGGCTGATGGGAATGGTGCTGTGGCTCATCATCGAGCTTAAAATTAGTTCAAAACAATCACCCGCCCTATTCGAACCTGGGCCGGTCTGGCGAAGTAACGGATGGACCCCTTTCGGTTGGATATCTAGCAAGCTGCATTCGATATTCGGGAAGAATTCTTCGGGCTCTATACGCAGCGGTTCGTATGCCCTGCGATCCCAATGGAGCAGGGGCGGGTCTTGCCTGAAATAATGGAGATTGTCCTTGTAGGTGACGAATTCGTTGACAAACCCCTTGGGGCTATTCTCTATATCGACCTGCAATTCCCTTTCAAGAGCTTCGATCTTCTCGGGCGCTGCCTTGCCCGACCTGTAGAGAGTAGTAATAGCATCGTAGCGCTTTATTACGTCGAACATGCGCTGGTGCTTTTTTTTCTCCCAGTTAGCCCTCCACTGATAGTTCCGCATGCTCTTGAAATCATCCGAATCTGGACCAAATGTTTCTGCTATATATCTTTCCTCGAGCTCATGCAATACATTGCGGTAGGATCTCTTAAATACGGGGGCCCTTTCTGCCAGCATGAGCTTTTTCCCCGACCTCGCATTTAGTCGAGCCTCCTTCAGAGCTTCAGAAGACCTCCCCTTAGGCATTCGAATCTTGGCATCTTTCATCCTCTTCCAGGTGGCAATGTTACTACTCTCGTCAATGACGTTATCGCGGACGTACCAAGAACTATCGGAACCCTCGCGGCCGCACACCTCGTGCACCCATTCGCAGCAGAGCTCGGTATCTAACGCCAGCTTCTTCCGCTTCTGCATCAACTTAGGGAGTATTCCGTACTTGTCGTCGTGCCGAGTCCATATCAACATGCGGACGAGCCCATATCGTTGAAAGAGGCCGCTATTTCGGATAGCTTCGATATACTGGTAAAGAACCAAATTCGCCATGGACGCGAAGGAAAGGAAGCGTTTCTGAGGGTGGAAAGCAATGTTTGCAGTGACTAGGAGAGTATCGTTGCGTTGACTCAACTTGGCCGCGTCAGGTATGGTTTGGTGCGGTAGGTATTCTGGGGTTAGGATAGAGTTGAGCTCCCGCCAGATGATCCCGGACGCCGGGACGAGCATAGTATTGGGCTGATCGAGGAGAGGTTTGAGGAAGGGTTTGTATAATTCTACATCGGGTTCCATCAGGATGTGAGAGCGCGGCTTGAGAAAATCGTGTAGCTTGTGGCTCCAAAGCCCAGCGCCGGGGTATATATCGATGAGGTCGCATCCCACATGCCGGCTAAGGGACTTTCCGACGTATGAGATAATATTGTCGCATAAATTTTCGCTAACAACGTTAACCCTGGTCTTGTCACCATTCGGCTGGGGTTGCGAGGCCTTGTCAGATTTCCCTCGCGGGCTCCTTGGTATCCATAGCCCCGTAGCAGCAAGCTCCTCAGCTACAGGGCCTGACGCTGTAATTGCTGACTTGTCGAGATATTTCAAGGGAGATTTTGAGGCGAGAGCACGCCTCGCTAGGGCAGTAGTGGGCGGTCGATAGAAGATAGAGCGGGGATTGAAGGTGTACCGCGCATTACCACGGAAATTAAACATGTGAGATGCGCGGAAGGTTAATAGGGCAAACAGTTCTAAGGTTGATCTGCATGAGAAATCTTATAATGAGAACTTTTAGCATTCGTCCATATGAAGTACTTAAGTTATCGCAACCCTTTCTGTTATATGCAAGTGAGGTGGTGAGGTGGTGAGGTAGGTTAACCTAGTAATTTTAGTGATGCAAGTGAAGGGCCAGTCGCCTTTTTTTTTTTATCGTCTGGAGTTTTTTTTTATCGTCTGGAGATCTACATAATTGGGTGTCCACTCTCAACTCCTGGCGCATTACATAATGTTAGTTACGTCAGTGGCATATACCCCCTGTAAGATACATACATGTATGTATATCCCTATAAAGCAGGTACTAATTAGGTACCTACATAAGGTAATGTACCTACCTAGATGTAATCCGTAATCCGTACCTGATTTTAGAGTGCACTCTAACCTACCTAAGTATTAAAAGTTAAAAGAATACCGCTATAATCATAAGACTCGCACCAATGGACTCTGTTGACTTGGGCTTGGCCCAACCCATTTGATAATAAGCAAGCCGAGGCCAGCAATACTTGGAGGATAGACCAATTTGCAGTCATTTTTATGACGATAGTATATCTAATCACAATTAGCAAGCTAGAGCAGGTAGAGACGAGAGACTTGATTTTAACATGTAGGTGAACGATTTATATTAGCTAAACAATTATACGAACAGTGCTGAAGTGTGCCGGCGCAGACTCAACCCTAAATATAGGAATCACCAGTGAACAAGGCTGCGTGAGGAATAGCTTTACCCAAGTCAGTATGATTGTGCGGCCGAGATATTTACTAAAATTCAGACCAGGATAGGTCCTCTTTGATCATTCGTCCAGCTGGTGATTTTATCTAACTACCTACCTAATCTTGGTCTCCAACAGTACCCGGTTTGATGGGACCAGTGGGCATATTGCCCCTACCATAACCCCCTAGATGATGCCACATGGCTGACATCAACATAGCCATATTAAGAGGTATCCAGCGGTAGTACTATCTAGACCAAAGTGTACGAATCTCCGGTTCCTACTGGGAATTGCCAAGCATCGCCGACGATTTGCTAGTATAATAATGTGATATTGTTGAGAGTTAGTAGATTTTTTGTTTTAACTAATTTTAAATACTCTTCGCTATCTGACTTAGTCTATCTATAGGTATCTAACTTATTCAGTGGCTAGAGAATATAAAATACTTATAGATGCTTTTGAAGAATTGCCTAGAGTGAACTGGGATATCATTCGCCGTATCTTTGAAGTACTGGTCGCGATTCTACTCCCCATAACGATAACCAGAAAGGCTAAGTTTGAATACCTACTTCTATATATCCTTGTCTCTTTCTTATATCTATCCCCTATCCACCTACAGCCCCCGAGATATATGGAACAAGCACTAATACTAATAGTCAAACACGGGAATTCCCCACAGCTCGACGGCCTAGAATAAGGGGATTCACATCACTTTATTTGACTAGGGGTACGATCCGTATTTGAGTACGCCTCTATATAAGACACTAGATGAAAGTAGTGTCGTGGCTATATTAGACTCCATGTAACATATAGTAAGACGTCTGAAAACAATGATGTAGAGGGAGATTATGGTACAATCATATAGGCCATTCTAACTACCTGGGATACTTTCCAACCCTAGTGATATGTTAGCTACCCATGTTCGCGCATCTATAATAAATATGACTCACATCCATCAACATCCTCCACTGCCGTTTGAGCCTTGGTGCACTTTAGGGCCTCTTCCGACGTCTGAACCTTGAGCTCACTGCAGACAGCGTTGTTGCATCGCGCATCAAGAGCACGCTGAAGGGCATCGTCTTTCCAGCCGAAGACGTAATCGCCGTGCTGCGAATATCCAGTTCTGTACGTACCAATTTAGTACATGGAAAAATTCCGATGTTTCTTGGGAGACTCACTCATCGTTTGTGCTCCAGAAGAATGGCTGCGAGCCATCCTCGGGCCATAGTTCCGGGTCGTTGAAAGGTGTTGTCTAGGAAATATACGAATTAGCAACAGCCCTTCGACGAAGCCTGTTACCCGATATATCAGGGTAGCAAAGTTGGTACTTACATCCCACATAACTTCGTACATCAACTGCGGTAGCCTAATAGGGTGACTCTCCGGACAGGTGCCTACTGATTCAAAGGTACCCTCGCGAGGATATGCGACGTGACTCTTGTGATCTGGGCTGTCTAGATTCTTTCCATCCCAGCAGGTAGGGAATGTAATCGTCGTGCGAATACCGCCAGCGCAGGGCTTAGGGGGTAAGCTCTGCGTATCTGAACCGGTACACGGCGCGCCACCCGTGTCCCCAGCGGGGCCGGCGCCATCCGCGGTTGTGTAGCAGCGGTGACATAGCTGGCGCTGCATACCATCGGCCTTGCGAAGCGCGGCGTCTCCGACAAGCATACGGAAACCCGGCTTGAAAGCAGTCACTTTCGTCTTTCCATCGTAGGGAGGGATATAGTAAACTGTGATTCCACCATCTTGTCGGAGTCCTACATTCGCAAATTGTGGTACGCGCTTATATGTCCCATTGCGGGCCCTGAAGTATAGAACCGCCGTCCAGTAGTTAGAGAAATCTTCAGAGAACGTACAGCTGGTACAGGTAGAGTCTCTGACGAGATCGTGCACTGCCGGGTCCATGCTCGAGTTGAACGAGTTCCCACCCACGATCTGATGGACGTGCGGCGACGGCAACGTACCGGGATTGACGAGAGGGTCTAGACGCTCAATGACAAGCTGGGAGCAACCAAAACGTATCATCTGCTGGGCGGCAACATCCCCCGCGAGAAGCGCTAGGGCTAAAGCTTTCCACTTCATCTTGGACAGAATTATCTAACCAGTTTACAAAAGGGGTTGCGGCGATGGGAAAACCTCAGACGGAGCGAAGCCAGACTATCGCTCGCACGTATAACCTGGACCCTAATTCCTATATACTAGAGACTTACCTCTTCCTAAATCAATGCCGAGATACCGGTTCTCTGACTTGGTTTTCTGACCTGGACAATATCGAGGTATATTGGGCTAAGGAAAATTGCCACTCCTAATGAATTTACCCGGGAGTATCTCGCATGGTAAACCCTTATCAACTCATTACTCTTGGCATAAACCTGCTTTCGATCGATGGCATATATCAGGACATATTTGATTTCTGACTATGAAACTTCGAGATGATACAACGGAGTAATTCAAATCATGATGATGCTGTATGATCTTTGGAATTAAAGATAACAATGAAGTATGCCACTTCTGCACACTCGCTTACTTTCAAATCTCTACCTATTGTTATATTTTGTCCAAGATAAGTGCCACCTAATATGTGGGTGATTGGAGACTTTCTCCTGCTACGGCAAAATGGGATTAATCTTCCACACACTCTTCCAGATTGCAATGCAACGGCCTAGACGTCCCGGCATTTAATCAAGCCGGTATAACTAAAAGCCAGATAAGATCACCCGTACCGAACTATAGACACCCCTTTATTACATAGCAACCATGCCGGCAGAGAAGTTTTAATCGCCATCTATATTCCTTAGTACGCTTCGAGCAGTCCAAAGGAAAAAAAAAAGTCAGGATGAGAAACGGCGTGTTAGCCTTTGTAGCGGTGCTGCCGCTTACTCACGGAGTAGTTGCTTCTAGAGTATGCGGCACTGGTACGAACGCGTCTTCGGAGTATCAGTGGCATGTGGGCGCCGCAAGGTATGACGGCGCGGAGCCTGGGGGGAAGGGAGCCGCAACGATAGCCGTGAGCATAGTACCTGGCAACCTCACTATGGGCACCTTTTTCGAGTGCGTCGCAGAGTGGCCCGAATCGTGGGAAGGTTGGTATGAAGACGGGAATATCATTTGGAGTGACTGTATCTGGGCTGGCAACGGCAGGACTTCAGATACCGCTGTCTCGTTTGCCCTGGACTGGAAGAATAATCGTACAATGTATATATCTCATACGTTTGCCTGCTCAGATAAAGAAGGGTAAGTATCGTCCCGCACTTGCTACAGTCTCCAGACATAAAACGAAACTAACATCACGGGGACAGATCCGACGCCTTAGCTATAGGATCTTTCCATTTGGATCTAGATTGCGCGACGAGCGAGGAGGACGGCACCAGCTGCATGTTAAAGGGTAAAGGTCTAGATATTACTACCACAGGAAGCCCGGCTCGTTTGGCAACAGATTCTTGCGCGGATAATGCAGAAAGGTACCAATCGTGGCAGCTCGAGAACTGGCTACGCCGTTACGAACAAGTTCCCGGCTCACCGTCTTCGAGCGCGCCCTCGTCCGATACTGGCCCGTCTTTCATCTTGAGAAATATGGCCAATACGGATGTTTTCAACTGTACGACTTCGGGAAGCCAGAATAATACTCTGACTGGATCTTGCGAGTCGGATGCAGAGGAGAGTTCTACGACAACAGCGACGTTTAGCTTCGACCGGCAAATAAACGTGTTGACTATTAAGCAGCACTGGAACTGTAGCGAATCGTAAGTGAAAAAGTGCTTTTCTGAGAAAGCATGTTTCTAACAACATGGCAGGTCGTCGTTCGATGCTGTTGGCGTCGGCTACGTCCAAGCGACGTGTAGTCGACAAGGAAACTTCCTCACCTGCACTTCAACTCCGCTCTGGATTGGTACGAAGACTCTATGATGATGCCTCTACGGAAAACATCAATGATGTATTATTTCAACCAATTTACCTAGGAAAATAAATTCTCGAATGTTTTACTTGAATATTCGATCACTACATCTTATCGACACTTCCGATATTCTAAATTAAAAGAATATTAACACGCCCTACAATGGCTCTTCCAATTTCCACATTATTCTCATTATTCTTAGTGGTAAATTAGGTCGGCTTGTGTGGAAATCCATTGAATATTTATACACTGGCGCCCTAGATAAATACATATTAGATAAATCCAATGCAGCTTCACCTTTACCTCGACGTATCTTGACGATCTCGTGGCTGAGTAGGTAGGTACATATGTACGTAGATCCATCCCTACCCTACGTGACGCAGGTTACTATTTTCAGACTCTAGGCCGGCAAATACATAAGAATAACGTAGCATTCTCCCCGCAGAAGATTGTCATCAAGGAGAATTAAAGCCGACTAAACTCATCTTAGCTAGATCAGACACCGGGTTTAGTTAAGGATCACTCAGGGCAGTCAGGGGTAACACTCCATCCAAGTTTGATTATACATCGTAATGAGAATCTTGATATTACTAAAACATCTTATCGTAACGAATCGAATAGTAGCCAAAAATGACCTCTCATCGCCTCGTACAACGCCCAACACTCGATGCGATCCCTTTCAGTCTAGGTATACAGCTACTTTACAAGGTTATGCACCCATCTATATCCCAACAGTAATCTATAATAAAATCGTTACCCAGAAGTGGTAGTCAAGTAGAGATCGTCTATCAACTATAGTTTGAATCCGCCCGTGACTAACTTCTGGAACATCTGGCGTGTGTCGTACTTCTTGCTGGCGGCCAGGAGCTTGTTGTGGGAGTCCTGCCCGTAGCCGACGAAAGGCTGCTGTCCGGACCAGGCGTCGTTTAGGAAGACGAAAGGCAGGTGGACATTGCGGGACGTGGTGTAGCTCTCTGTTGCCGCCAAAATGTCCTCGAGGATCTGGTAGACAGTTGCATCGTCCTTCTCCAATGACCAACCAATGTTGATACCGACCCCTGAAATTGTTAGCGTTGATGCACATGCGGGGATACTCGGGAATCCTGTTACTTACATAGCTGCGCTCTGTCCTCCACGTTCATGGGGTCATCGCCAAGGGCTCGCGACTGGTCAACCATGCTCTTGGAGACGGGCTGGACCATGGGGGCTAAGGAGCCGCCGGTAACGTTCTGCACGCGCGACGAGAACTGAGAGAATACATCGATCAATCCTTCGTAGGTCTCCGTGCTGGTGCTGTTGTCGAAGGCTATGGTAGTAGCAGCGTAAGTCCACCTAGGTACCTGGTAGGGGAGGTCGACTTGGCAAAACTCGTAGAAGTTGTCGTAGACCTGGGTGTAGTCTGCGGTGACGGGGATCTCGAAGAAAGGCGCGAAAGCATCAGGACGGACTACACCATCCAAGTATACAAAGGTAGCGAGGATGGTGTCGTTGTTGATGCCGATGTAAGGGAGGATGGCAGACTTGGTGTCAAATTGGCCGTTCCCCTGGTACTCAGCCATAGCAGCCATGAACTGCTTCGAGGAGTTACCAGGGAACTGAACGAGACCACCCCAGACCTGGCCCATGGGGTAAGTGCGCTGGGTGATGTGAGTGACGATACCAAAGTTGCTAGACCCGGCCTTAGAGGCATAGTACAGGTCCGGGTTCTCGGTAGCGCTAGCATTGACGTGAGAACCGTTGGAAAGCATGACTTCGTATTGAAGGACATTCTGACCAACCCATCCCCATTCGTTTGAGAAGTGGGAGAGACCGCCTCCTGTGGATAAGCCAAGTCCGACCGTGGCCAGACGACCACCGACAACGATTCGTCCGTAAGGAACGAGGTGTCCGTAGACGTCGCCCCAGCGGTTGCCCATTCCGGATCGCTGGGTTTGAGCAGCCTCATCGTATTCCAAGTCGTTAATGTTAGTCATAGAAATCAGAAGGCTATCGTCGATGTTAGCCCAGTTGGAAAGAGGCGAGTGACCACCGCTGCGGACGGCGAATGTGATGTTTGTGAAACCAGCGATAAGAACGGCGCGTCTTAGATCTTGGATGTTGTTAGGTGCGAAGATGCAAGAAGGAGACTTCCACGCCGTTTCCGACCAATGAGCGTGTGCCTCCTGAGCGTAAAGATCGCTGTTCGAGCGAGCGACGTATAGAGTCTCATTACCGGCACTGCTGCCGTTGTTGCTGATAATGGAGAGGACGGAGCAGGTGAAGTTAATACCGCTCTGGCTCTTGACACTCGCAGGCACTGAGTTTGGGTCTACGTCGATAGATTGTAAGAAGCTATCGACTGATGCCGGGGTGGGAGCAGCCAATACTGAGGGAATAAGGGGTAAACCCAACAGAGGAAGCCGAGACACGCGCATGGTGAATTGATGACAAGAGAGAAATGATAAAAGATTGACTATATGAAAGACGAAGAAAATAGACTATGAAGAAATAGACTATGAAAAGAAACTAGGAGGAAAGAGACTCAGGAAACTGAACTCTATGCTTCTCTTCTTCTGAATCTACAAGTTGTGCTACGGTGACGTCCATACTTATACAGGCTACGCCTAAGATTGTTAATTTCATGGACCCTCATGGCCCTGGAACTACGCCTCCTAGAATAGATGGAAAATGAGCTATTGCGCAGCCATGCGAGCGCTGTCACTCCTTCAGACCCGAATCGTACGAGCCTCATGGCGACGGTTAGGTTTGCCGCGGACGCTTCCGTTCCACGCGAGAGGCTGCACAGTAGTAAGATGGACTTTGCATAACTAGATCCTTCGCGTGGTTCTTTTTTTTAGAACTGACTACCTACAGCTTTGACAGCAATCTCGAATGTCTACAGCCACTGAAACGTACCAAAAAGCAGCTGAAATGGGCCGAGGCGTGCGATTGGCTTACTCACAACGGCTGATCCTTCAGCTAATGAGGCGAAGCTAACGCGAGCAACCTGGATCCTATATTACGCAGGGCAGCCTACCGACCGAAATTTATCGGCCGACGACAAACATGACCCGAAATTTATCGGGGCTCGTACTTCGCCGCAGGGCTTACATGTAAGCGGATCGTGAGATTTTGAGAAGTAGTAGGATTATGAATCGGACGACAGAAAATTATGAGAAAGATATATGAAAGAAATAGTAAGTCTACGCGGGAAGTTGTGGCCTCGTAAAGCTCAACTCTTGGAGATCACATTTACTCGTAGCACGGGTAAACCATCTTCAACATGCTGGACCGAGCTCTACTTCTTGCTCTCTGTGCACTAGTATCCTGGGTATTCCTAGCGATATACAGAATATATTTCCATCCCCTGTCAAAATACCCAGGGTCTAAAATCGCTGCTGTATCGGATTCGTGGTGGGAGTTATATTGGAATTATTATCGAAATGGAGAGCTGCTGTTCGAGATCGACAGGCTTCACAAGCTCCACGGTGAGTTAACGCCCCTGGTTTGATTATCGTGCGGCACCAGCTTATGCGCATGCTAGGGCCTGTAATTCGGGTTGGTGTGAATACTATACACGTTAGCGACCCGGAAGTGTTCCAAGATCTAGTGAAAACCAACTCGACTTTCACCAAGGACGCTCACTTCTATCTAAATATCTCGTTTCCGGGGACTTTGATCGGCGAGATAAACCCGGCCAAGCACCGCGTCCGGAGAAAGGTTTTGGCCCCAGCTTTATCGGGCTCTAGGGTGCAAGAACTTGCTCCCGCGATTTTGGCGAAGACGAAGCAGCTGATTAAGAGGTTTGAGGAGGCGGCAGAGAAGTCATCGCCGATATGTGTCACTTCTGCCGCAAAGGCCTTTACGATGGACATCATCTCCAAGATCGTCCTCGGTCAGGAGATGGGTTGCGTTACGGAGCCCAACTTTCGCAACCAGCTCACGGAATACCTTGAAGCGGGTTTCAAGGTAGGATGGGTTGGCACTTCGTTCCCCACGATTTCAGCTATCGCGCTGAAAGCCGCATCCATGACCTCTTTTATCATTTTCCCCATGCCCCTATTTAGCTTCAAGCGTGTAAGTGCCTGGAGTTTGCCTACGGTTTTTTTAGCTTATCTAACTCTATGTGTAGGCCTGTCTTAACATTACCGGGAGGTATCTTGAAGTGTTCAATCCGCACCAGGCCGGAGGTACTATAAGCAATGCAACCCGTCAGCTACAAAAGAGCTATGGAGAGCGATCGGCCGTTATAGATATGCTAATGGATCCAAAAGCCGCCAAGGATCATCAAGTCCCTAACCTCGATGAGCTGAACGACGAACTTGTCATGCTTCTGACTGCGGGAAATGATACCACTTCAACTGCTTTGATTTACGGTCTTTACCAAGTATACACCAGGCCCGCTATTTACGAGAAGATATTTCGTGAGCTTTCGGCAGAGTTCCCGTCGCTCGAAGAAGAGATCACATATGAGCGTGTTAGGAAGCTACCTTATCTGGTAAGAGATCTACAAACCCGTTGCGGACGAAGAATGATCTTCTAACATGTATATGTGATAGACCGCCACCATTAAGGAAATATTGAGGCTTGGAAGCCCTCTACCTGGACGTCTTCCCAGAACCGTACCCGAAGAAGGATACCAGCTCTACGGCAAATATTTGAAGCCAGGCGTAAGTGAAGAAACTATCAATGTGACGTAGCATGTTTCTAATATTGCGCCATGCGCTCATCAGGTTAACATCCAAATGTCCGCCTACATCCTAAACCGCCACCCTGATGTCTGGGACCAGCCGAACGAATTTATTCCCGAGCGATGGTTAACCGACGACGCTGCTCGGCTCGATAGGTATATGGCCACCTTCAACAGGGGGGCTCGCCAATGCTTGGGCAAAGAGTAAGAGATTTGCTATCCCCCCTTAACGCATTGTTGGGTAAATATGGTTGCTAACAAGGATATAGACTAGCCTGGTGTGAGATGTGGGTTGTTTTCGGAAACATCTTCCGACGCTTCCAGATTACGCCGTACAACACGACTGACAAGGACATGGAGTGGAAGGATTTGATTCTCGTAGCGTAAGTAACTCATCAAACAGAACTTTGGACTTTCTCTAACCCTTTTGTCGTACAGATATAAGAATAAATTCTACGCTACAGTTGAGAAGCATTCAGTATGAAGTGTAGTTATATGGGAGGCTCAGTTGCTATAGGAGTAGGTATGGGTATAGCGATATGATCACAAATATAGATTGGGGAATAGAGAGGGCGTATATAGAAAAATGTACCATCTATCATAAGCCAATCCAAAACTTCTTAAAGGAACTGAAGCTTCTTACTATATAAATGTTTCCGTGGTAGTGATTGCCTAAGGTTTGCTTAAGGTTTACCTTAGGATGTTGTGTTGAATGCGAGTACAAATTTCCTATTTGGGACACATGCCTTGCTACCTTACAGATAATTTTCCTGCCTTATAGAAAGCAGTAAATATGAAAAGAACAAGTTCATGCATCTATTTAAGGCCTTATTACTTAGGTCTCGAGGGTATTGAGAGTATTGTCCAGCCGTGTAATAGCGGTAAATCCGGGCTATTATAGGGGTACCCTCCAGTTTAATAGGGAGTAGGTCGCTAATATGTAACAATAATGAAAATAGCATAGAAACATGGTGCGGTGTAAACCTTAGGCTTTTGTGTTGCCGGGGGGGTAACCTCTAGTTACTTAGGCAACTAGGTTATTAAGAGTTGTGCTATTTGCAGATTGGTCTGCCAGCCCTTCCAGACAGATTACTTTTTAGAAGACTGGCATGCCATTTGCTACCAATTTTATTAGTAAAATGATATTTGTTTAATCCGATTGGCAAAACTACCTAATTTGTAAATAAGACCTTATTTACAGATTGGTTATTTTAAGCAACGCTGTTTACTCGACGATAACAATTGTATTATATAAGATAGGCTTATATTGAATGATATATTATTAAGTAGTATAAAACTAATTTGCAAATAAGGGCTATTGGTGCTGTCGAATAGACAAGGTCTATATAATACGTAGCATTATACAGGGTTGCGTACAGCTGTACGGAGGAGCCAAACACGAAAGCAACGATGCTGTAAAACCTTGAATTGACTGTATACTTAAGAGGGATACAGCGTACGGTTACGTACGCTGTATATAGCCCTTGTGTGTGTGGATACCAGGGCTCGAAAGCCCTGGTGGATAGCCACGATCTAAGCTAATTGCGAGGTTGTACATAGCCTCATACGACGCAGCCGTCAGGTTAGGACATATTATCCCAACAGGTGCCTTGATGTTAAAAGATGAGGTTATCTTAAGACTTTCGGTAAGAATAACTCCGTTTTACGAGGCTTATCTACGCCACCAACAACGGCGCGAGGTTTAATAATGGCGTTACGGGGAGGCATATTAAGTTATTTATAGGTAAATGTTTTTCAATTTATTGTTGTTGACGAAGAAATTATAAGACTTCTTAAAGGGATATAGGGCGGAATTGAGGAATGTCATTTTACTAGTAAAATTGGTGGCAGATGGCATGATAGTCTTCTGAAAAGTAATCTGTTTGGAAGGGCTGGCAAGGTAATCTGTAAATAGCACAACTCTTAATAGATGTAAAATGTAATACTATAGGGATGTATAGAGTAGGTGTGTTGTGAATTCGTGTATCACTTATCTCTTCAATATCTTAAGTATTGGTGTAGAAATGTTGGACTTAAGTGAAATATACAAGGTTCCAAAGCATGATGCCGACTATAATATGACTAAAACATAAAAGGAACACGGTTATTACATGAGCTTATGATTATCAGAGTCTTAACTTAGAAGTTTCAGACTGAACCATCTTCTAGTATTAACTTATAACCATCTACAGGGGCGTATCTTTTTCGTTTCATCTGCTACTCTTTCCAAAGTATGGAATATAAAAACAACCCTAACTCAGAAATTACAATCACACAAGGTGTGCTTAAACAAAACAGTAGGTATACAAAAGACACAATACAACTTAATCAGCTAGATATTCTTCGTATTGTACAAAATAAACGTAGCTAAGGAGTAACAAAACCTAATTCGGGATATATAATCTAATTGTTACTATACATGCTTCAATACAGGTCTATCCTACCACCTTGCGCCAAACACTAACACCGAATCCCGCCTTTCTAAGCCGAGCTAGGAAATAAGATCTAATACTTCACTTTTCCCAGACGGATAAAGCATTGTCGCGGTGTGTGCGCAAGTCCATCCTTAGCAGCATAGCTCGACAGTGAAGGAGGAACCGGGAGGAGTTCGAATTCCCATAGCATTAGCGTAAGGACGATTCTCATCTTTGTGTAGGCGAGCCTACGGCCGGAGCACCCTCGCTGGCCAAGTCCGAAAGCTAACTGAGGACCAGCGGTGGCGTCAAACCTGACCTCGCCGTCTTCACCCCTCGCTAGCCAGCGTTCGGGACGATACGCGCGCATGTCTTCGGCTTCGTTCCACTGCCTTACCCTAGTCGCCTGAGAGGTCTTGCTGCGCTTGCTTTCGGGTATCTCAAATGATGGGGAGAGGAAGCTTGGCCCGTTAGACAGTAGAAGAACGACAGTGCCTTTAGGTATGCGATGTCCTAGGAGTTCAGTGTCGCGGGTTGCTTCCCTAGTTATGGGCATAGCACTAAGACGTAACATCTCATCCATAGTGGCGTCCAAATAAGGTATGGTAGTGTGGGTGATCTCATCTAGGGCGGGAAGACGCTTCTCCGCCAACGCCATAGGGTGAGCGGCGTGAATTGCGGAGCGAAGGCGTGACTGTGCCTCGGGATTATCCGTTAGGAACTTCAAACCCCATACCAATGTATTAGCAGTGGTCTCATGACCTCCCACGACGTTGAAAATAATCTGTTTTACATAACTGTAAGCGGGTATGGACACCAAAATTTTAAAAGGGGTTTCAATTTTTCTTACCTCGTCACTCATGCTAGGACTAAAGAACTGAGGCTCTCGGCCACTCTTTTCGGCCAGAACAGTCTCGCGCAGAATCATGTGGTCAACTGCCGAGCGTACCCAGGAATCGTCTGCGGTGCCGTTCGCATTCATCTTCTTTACAGCTTTGTTAATTTGATCCATAACAAACCGATCTTTAGCAGCGAGCGTCTTCCTGAAAGAAGGTCGCATATTTTCCCACCACAGCGTAACCTTAGGAGCAGCAGAGTTCATCAATTTTTCAAGGATGTGTCCCGCATTCATGCTAACCTCGAGATTCTCGTGAAGGGCAGCCTCGGGGAATCGAACGGGATCGTCGATATCTCCCTTTAGAGCCGACTTCTGCTCGGACGTTAGACTCTCAAGGAGATCCGACTGCGGGCGCACGGCTGCGTATTCAAAGCTGGCTCCAAACGAAAACGCGCAGACGGCGTCGAGGATAGTGTGATATATATCCGTCTGCGCGTGAAAAGGCCTGCCTTCCGCGAGGTTCTCTTTGAGTTCCCAAAGGTGTAGGAAGTCTAAGACTTTGGAGTAGATAGCAGGGGCGGCGACACTGTGCAGAAACGCGGGAATCATCAAATCTTGAGTAAGTTTGCGGGCGTCTTTCCACTCCCTGTCCGTACTCATGCGAATATGATGATGCGGGATCGGGGCCATCAAGTCCCTTGTGAAGCTTGATCGATCAAAGTCCTTGCGCTTCATCAGAACATCCTGCGCCTCTCTCCAGTCCGCGAGGACGAGCGTAGGGTTAGAGAACGGGCGCAGAAAGATCTGGCAGAGGGGCGCGTTCAAGTTTTCTGACTGCTTTCGCATCCATGCCATAAACTCGCCCGTCTTCACCGTCTCCTTCAGCATGCTAGGCGCATCGCCAAAAATGGAGCGCGTAGCTTCGGGATTATACGGAATCCCGGGAATAGGCTTAGGTAGAAGTCTAAGGTAAACTCCATAGAGAAGCACAGCAGCGCCAGCGAGAAGAAAGCCAATAGCCGGCGAAAGGTGGACGTTGCCGAGGACGTCTAACACGCCTTGGGCTTGAGACAACATGGTGGTCAAAGTTGAAAAGAAAACCGACACAAAGAAAATTGTATGAGCCCAATATTTTTGGGATTGTGAAAGTAGAGAATACTACCTAACCTAAGTATACAAGCAACGACTGACAGGGAGCTACATGTTATCATTTCAAGGAGATTCGCCTTTCTACTTTTCCTTCAAGTTTCGTCGAACCAACACCCAATCGTAAGATTCCGATACGATTCTGGATTTAGTGATTTAGTGGACCGAATTGTTCGGCCGAAACTCTTTGACGAAGCATTGGGATTAATGCTGTTGGTCTAGACACTATAATATGACTTTTGAAGGATGTCCAGAAATATCATGTTTTTGGACTGTAGGATTTAGCTCTAGTAGAGGATAGGCCTAGTGGCACACTATTCTGTTCAGGTACACGTAATTCTTGGTTAAATGCACCCATCTTATTGGCCCACCTCCGGAAGCCTCTACCGCAAATAATATGCAAGTAAGCAGATTGGTAGGTACCTACCAGGTAGGTGGGTAGGTACCTAAGATATTAGTCAGAACTAGAGCAGTGGAATCAACTTGTTATATATACCATTATAATAGGACTATAAGAAAAACAGGTAACCAAGTTAAAATCAACACGAAATTCTGCACATCAATCCTATCGCTTCGTATGATAATGAGGCTTTTCTCTGTTGATCTCTTATCATCCTCATCATCCTTATCATACTCCACCCTTCATTATTACTAAATGCCTAGGACGCGGTTCCTTCTATCAATCCTCCGATTTCTGTGCCTCTTTCCGTGCCTGATTCTTGCCTCCGTCACAACCGACCTGAGTGCCTTTTCAGGTTTACACAGCAACGTCGAAAGGATCAATCTTCCAAGGTCGGCTACTGTGCACTTTTGTGGCACCCGATCTATAACACCCCGCTATGCCTAACCACACGTAGCCTCCACTCAGTTGGTACTAGTGCATATGTACGATGGATGTAGGATGTATGTACGTATACATATCTGGACATGCACGTAGTTACATAGTATACCGTATATCTGGTTATGTATTTTATAAGCATGCATAGGTACCTACACTACATTTGATGCAGGCTCCTCCCCGGCTTCACCCGTCCCGCATCGGAAATAAATTTCAGGCGGTACGCGTCTGAACGTTCTGACAGATTCCGCCAAGGAACCAATCCTCAGGTAGGACCAGTCTACCTGGTAACCCTGCCAGCCCTGCATACACGTTGCAGGCTACAGACGTAAGCAGGCATATTCTTTGTGCCACCGGTTGTCGCTGAACGTTGTGCGGAGTAAGCACTCTATTGGACCATAAGTCCTAGCTGAATTTAAGACGGGGCTAGCTCGTAATGCGGCTCCTTCAGACCCCTGTCGAGCCCACATGTACCTTGCCGGGGGGCCCCAGCTTTCTATGTAGCGCAAGCTTGGCATAACCTTGAACAGTGGGTATAATATATGAGTCGGTCTGTTCCCACGTGTATTCGCATATGCAAGGAGCACGCGGGGGTGGGGGCAGTGTTACACTAAATGAGTACCTAGTCATATCGGGTAGATAGGCTATAAGCCAGGCTATAGCCACGAAGGAATAAAGCGAAATGATAACTTAGTAAGCTGACGTATAAGCGAATAGTTCGATGGAAGATTACGAAACAAATCCATCCGCCAGTCGTAAAGAGTCATTCTAGACTGATATTCGAAAGATACACTGAAAGGGGGTTTACGTAGTTGCATTTATCGGGGTGATCATCATACCGGGATAAGATGTAAGTTCCATCTTGAAAGCTCCAGAGAATAGAGCGTATGAGATCATGATTTTCCAGGCAGATAAAGCTTCATAGATCAGATGCATAACCCGTGAAGATCATCCTATGTTTAACCCAATCGGAAATTTATCTCTATAGTGTTTTGAGGTTAAGGTGCAGTCTACTTACGTTGACCTACCTAACCTAGGTACCTACCTACCTAGATAGCCAGCCTGGAGCGAATTTCAATGGCCGGGTCTTGGCATTTGACATCTTTGAAGAATTAAAGATTATAAAAACAAAATAAATGAAATAATTGTTTTAAATAATAGGAAAAGCTAAAGAATAAGATTGTAGTTTTTCTCATTATATGACCATACTTCGTATTTATCTTTGACTATAATACGTGATATTGAACTTGGATACTAGAGTCAAGACTGCATAATAATAATCATAGACACAAAAGGGGAAGGGGAAGGCAACAACTAAAAAGCATTGTGAATAAAAGATTATTGTTTGTCGCATCTCTTTATTTTCTTTAACTTCTAACTCTAGAGAGTCTAAGTCTAATCTAGATTCTAGATTCGAGATTCCAGGTAATATGCTATATACAATCAAAAGTGGCTAAGTTCTATATCGACATTACTTAGCGATAGTTGGAGATCCGAATCGGACATCCCTATGATTGATGACCAGTTCATGTCCTCGCTCATCAAATCCATGTCTGCGGGCGACATCTGAAATTTTGCCATCATCGGACAGCTGTTTGTTGTTATAGCGTGCGACATCGAGGAAGAGGTTGGGGTATCTAATATGTCGTTTTCCGGCGTGCCACACTCTACTATACGTCCTAGAAGCCTGCCCAGAGTTTTCGCTCCGGCTTCTGCCATCGCGTTGAGGTCTGCTAGCATTTGTAACCGCTCGTGTGCCTCTCGTATAGCTTCCACGCATCTAGCCTGGCTAATATCCATGTGTCTCGTCGCCAGGGGATCAACTAAGCGGAAGAAAGCTGGGAAACCCGAGCCATCATTGTCGAGACCTATTTGTGTGGGCTCCCCATCATTGCCGTAGTCGGACCCGCCAGCTAAGCAGAGACAAGAAAGGAGTACCGCCGCCTCAAAAGTATGAAATATTATGTCGAATAGGCGTGTATGAGTCGCGCCTAATAGTCTGTGAAGCGTTGTGATAGCCTCCAACATATTTAGCGCCGCCCGTGCTAAACTTCTCTTTTGATGTTGGAGAATAGCTTGCTTATATATTGGAAGAGCAGAGATCTGTTCAGGCTCTAGTCGAAGAAGCGGCTTGAAATTGTTGCAGACGGAATTGTATATAGCGACGTGGAATAGTTGTCGTTGCCGTCCTAGGTTAGGAACACCGAGATCCCATTCTTTATTTGGATCCAATGCAAACGGGGCGGGAATATTTGTGATAAACTCGGTGCAGAATCTTTCGTAGCGCTCCTCCGCAGCGCTGGGATCGTAAGATACCGAAGTGTTACGACTGCCGATGAAGCTGTTCCAGAACCGGGCTAATCGAGCTTGTAGAATCCGTTCCATGAACGCCTCCGGAGCGCCACTCTTTTCAAGATCCGCGATTTGGTGTACCTTTGGTAGGCTGGTGGTACAAAACCCGTCAGAAAGGAACGGAAGGCGTTCGAGGGAGCTAGATAGACGCCTTTGAACCAATAGTTAGCAATGCCTATTCTTTGTACAAAGTCAGATATTGGAGAATAGGATATGTATACTTACGCATCCCAAATATAAAGATTGCAAAATATCCGCCGCCTCATCTCACGCTCGAATTCATCCATCGTTTGTGACGCAACGCCAGTAGGTTCTCTATGAATCCCTATCATCTGCGCTACCCCAATAGCCGAACCGAATGTCGCCCATGAGAGCTTTATATTGCCTTCGCACTGCTGGTTGAGCGCGGCGAAGCAAAGATGTTGCACTCGGATTAGAGAGCCCGTCGTGTCTGCCTGTGCACATAGCTTCTCTAGCGCTTGGGCTGTCCGGGTGCATTGGTATCGTATCTCAGTTAAAGAGACGCCACGAATCATATCGGATGTGTGGGCTGGTGAGGGAAGGAATTGTGAACAGTATGCGCTAATACGCAAGACGAGAACGGCGAACTCGACGTCTAATAGACGAGTTACAGGTCTCCTCGTCCACCAATCTTCATACTCGGCTAAGAAACTTGGTGGATGCACGAGTTGATTCATCCAGTTGACTTCATGGATGAAATATTGAAGAAGAAAGTCTAAAATTGGCCTCGCTGGTATCTTTGCCAACTCATGTTGGGCAGCATCCAATATTTCTCCAGATAAGTTTGTATAATTCGATTGCCAAGGTCTTGTCTCTTCTACTTTCAACTACTGCTTGTTAGGTTGCGGACCTGGAATAAGATAATTCTTTTTCGAGAAAAAAAGGGGGAAAATAAGTGAAAGTATAATACAGGTTAATACTTACTTGCCGTAATAGCCCAAGCGTATTAGAGTCACTGTCATCGAAATATCCAAAGAGATCTGCTAGAGAAGCTTGCTGATTGCTCTCGAATCTCTCCCTCTCTGACATGGCTGCTAGATGCTGGTTTGACTCTCCCGGTGTCACCTCCAATAATCTCTGGTTGGACGGTACCACGCCATCTTGTCCTGCATTCGAACCCACACTTTGTCTCGAGGGGCTTAGGCGAGGATTGGAGATGTAAGTGCATTCTTCTGGTCGACGACGCCGAGTGCAGTGGTTGCAAGGATATTGTCGGTTACACTATTCTGATTAATAATCTAGTTATACGTACAAGAGAGACTATGGGATAGCTATTAAGGTACCTTCTGCTTTTTCGAATAGCACGGAATGCAAGACGAAACGACACGCTGTTTACGCTTTGGAGCTGGTATCATCGTGATAGAGTATTAAAGATCGTTAAAGATCGAGATCTGTGGTTTGAAAATGATCGACGTAAACTACTACATAAGAAGGACTATGAATAATCGAATCTCGAACATGAGATTGGCATTACAAGCTATTAAAAAACGTGTGCATGCTCGAACCCCCCCTTTTCGATGCCATGCCCTTATATTCATATTGGTATTCATATTAACTTACAAGTACAAGTATGTTAACGAGGGATCCTACGGAAATAATGAACCACATAGTCCGGATAGTTTACTAAGGCTATCGTTGATCAGCATCTTCGTTTCAGTTGGTTGGTTATTTTAAGGAACTAATGCCGTCATGCGGCACCTGACTATTTGCTAGATACTAGCGCTTAAAAAGTCGAGCCAATAGTAGAGAAGCGTGGAATATTATTCGACAAATGTACAATTCGTTTACATTTTTATACGTGCTTATTTTTATTCCGAAGTCATTTAAGCTCCCGCCTCTCCCGTTCTCCAATCTTACCTTACAAAGTCCCTTAACTCGAAGAAGCTCCCCCCCACGAACAAAGAAGTCCTAGTATAAGTTTACGAGACATCTTATAGCTTAACTTGACAACATACGATATCTTTCTTAGTAGCTTCCTTCAAGTTTGCAATCATGGGCACCTTTCCTGGATTTCTGTACCGACAGTTTACCTTCAGGCCTAAGCCGCTGCCTAAGAGCTTGAACCTCAGCGGCAAGACGGCTTTAGTTACAGGTGGAAATGCCGGTCTCGGTTTTGAAGCTGCCAAAGAGTTGACTTCTCACGGCCTGTCTCGAATCATTCTTGGAGTTCGCAGCGTATCCAAGGGCGAAGAAGCAAAGAAGACTCTTCTCACGCTGAACCCCCAGATCGACGTCCAAATATGGGCGATCGACCAGGAGTCTTTCGAGAGCGTTAAGAACTTCGCCGACCAGGCCGCGAGTCTTGACAGGCTAGACATCGCCATCCTCAACGCCGGTGTTAAGAGTATGGAGTTCGTCAAGTCGAAAACGGGCCATGAGTTAAATGTCCAGGTATGGAACAATCCGAACGCCTAGACAATCGCGCGCATCTAATCCGGGGTTTTCGTAACAGGTTAACCACTTGGGCACTGCTCTACTCTCCCTTCTCATCCTCGGACCTCTCAAGAAGACGGCCGCAGCAACTGGTTCACCGTCGCGCCTGACAATCGTCAGCTCGGAGAACCACTTCTGGGTGAAGCTCAAGGAGATTAAAGGTCCTGACACGCTAGCGAACTTAGACAAGCCAGAGACTTTCGGAAAAAACATGGATCGCTACAACTTGAGCAAGCTCCTAAACGTGCTGTGGATGCGCGAGCTAAGCGCTAAGGCTGCGGGATCCAACGTGATCATCAATGCCGTGAACCCTGGCTTCTGCCAGAGTACCCTGCACCGCACGGATTCTAGCGGATCCACGTTTGCCAACTTGATCGGCTGGACTGGCGAGCAGGGCGGACACTGCCTGACTGACGCCGCGACGCAGCACGAGAAAGACGGCAACGGCGCGTACCTCAGCGAGCAGAGCGTTAAGAAGTAATAACCCCTACGATGCTTACAAGATAATAGATGCTAACCAAAGATAATATAGTCCTTCTCCTTTCGTGCTCTCGCCAGCCGGACGAAGCGCGCAAACCAAGATTTGGAACGAGACCATCCAACTTCTCGAGAATGAAGCACCCGGTGTTGACCTACTTGCGAACCTCCAGTCTTGAGAGGCTACACAGTTTTGTATCACGATTAAAATCGCATATTGTTCGTATTATTAGCAAGCGCGGCAGGTAGCCGGGAGGAGTATCTGGACAAAATTGTTTCGAGTCTAGTAGTGTAGCTTTCTGTACCCGATTATTATTATTACCCCATATAGATTTATCAATATAATTTAACAATACCATTGAATACTTGTTGAGACTGTCAAAGCTCTATGTGTGTTTTCTAAGTGTGTTATGCAAAGGTTTAGGTAGTGTTGCATAATGTATTCCTAGTCAAAATTGATGTGGGACATTGAGAATTGAAAGTCCAAACGGTTAGACCAAATAACTAGACCAAAATACCTAGGTACTTGGAGAATTTTTTCGTTTAGCCAATTGGTCAGAACTTAGAGTTTATTTTCTGACGTCAACTACACTATAAGGTCGTACAATCTATATGCAGTCACTATTAAGCTTTAAAGATGTTCCAAAAACGAAACTAGCTTTCAAGGTGTCTAAGTTAATGTTTTTGATAAAAAACAGGGGTTTAAATTGATACAAGGACATGTTTATGTATAATTGCCATCATGTATTATTACACTACGAAGATGGATATTCGGCACCGAAGTGTAAAGACGCTAAGTGATTACGTACTTTCATTAACTAACTTGGCAGTTTAGGTATTAAGGCCTGTCTCAGATCTTATGTGTTCTGGCCTTATATCAATCATATCAATCGGAAACCAAACTTGGCATCCGAATGGTTGCCTCGATCTTACCCTGCTATTTGGTGGAACTTCTACCTAGTATTGCGGGGGAGACAAATATTAAGCCACTGGGCTAATTAAAATTCTGAGTGGCTGAGATAAGGGCATAAGCGGAACTGGACTTTTGTCGACGAACACCCTTGCCGGTACCTAGGTACCTAATCTAACGTAAGCACTTCACGTACCTAGGTATGTACAAGGAGACCCCAACAACGGTACGCAAAGCATTAGGTAAGTCACAAATCATTTAGGTTGTGAAACAATAAGCTCTGGGGCCGTTGTAAGACGCATAATCTTACTGCTAACTTGCTTAATATTTGTGCCGTCTTAAAGCAACAGCTTGAAGCTATTTTGTGAACAGAGGAAGAAATGAGGAAATTGCAAGGCAGGACCTACAGCCTAGGTAACATTAGGTACATATGTATGTACCTAATTACAGTACGCCCCTTGTAATAATGTTATTCAGCGGACCCCTAGAGCTACTAACTTATTACCTAAGGTACCTAAAAGGTGCGATCGGCAACTAAAACTTGCGCTGGGGGCCATTAGACAACTTCTTACAATAGCAACAACATCTCATTCGTCGTGCAATCATCTTACAGCCCACTCTCCGTCGGCATCAAGACTGCCAATTTCGTATCTAGGACCTACCTAGATTCTAGGTCTTCCCCGTTATGTAGGACCTCGAATTCTTTTCAGCACATAATTGGCGCCAAGATACGAAATCATACTATTTAGTAGCTGCCTTAGCTTTCCTTACAGCAGGCATTGCATAGGTTCAGCTATAGGTTCAGCCGTGGTATCATTAATCTATGGTGGCTCTATGGTGGCATATCTGGCGCTTCAGGGTCGCTAACACGTTGCGGCCATCCCAGTGCTGAGTGCACCGACGGATAAACATAGCTTTGCCGCCGGCAGTCTGAGCCAAGGCGATCGAGACGCACCCATTTCGCATCCCTTACACCGACACCTGTTTCTCAAGCCTCTTCCACGGAAAGTTCGCTTGAAGTTTTATTATTTCGTGATGGGTCACTTAAGCATCGGGAGTAATAGCCTAGTAAACCCCTGGCCGCCGGCCCGTCGAGTCTAGTAACATACTGGGGTTTCTATGTGATGTTCCATCATTGGTGAGCCAAGTCAAACAGAGCAACGGGTATGCACTGTGATTCTTACAGGGTGAAGCCGTTGTCATCGCAATCTTATCGGGAGCGCCGCCGGACTGTGGTAGTAGGTACGTACAATCGTACGATATTCCGCGTATCTCTACCTACAGCTAGGTACTTCTTACATTCTCTACAAACGGGGGGTCTCGCGGAAAATACTGTGTACGCAGGCGTCTTTCCTTGCGAGACGCAATGGGTCACCATACGCGGGATATAAGCATACAGTAGCGTTATTGGCGTACAAGCTAGTAGCTCGCCCACCTCGAAGGCTTCTATGACGATATTGAAGTCAATATCACAACTTGACGATACCAAAGTTAACATCCGTGAAAATACTTAACATGATCTTATGTTTCTTTTGCGACTATGCTGGCGTTAGTATCTTCTTTTTAATGATTTTCAGGCGAACGTATCATTCTGTGATCATGCCGAGATCACTTAGGTACCTAGGTAGGTAATATTTCGTTTTTCTGCGATGGTATTGAAGCTATAATGCTATTCTCCCGTAGTCATGCTGAAATCAACACCTCATTTTCCGAAACGATGTTGTAAACAAAAATGGAGGTTAGACGAGTTCGTCTCTGTTGCTGATGAAGGAACACGTGTAAGTGCTAGCGATCCTCTCGAAATGAAGGCAAGAGTCCGCAAGACACCTAATAAAGGTGATAAGCTGGAGTCGACTGTGGGGTTTGAGGCAAGGCACAGATAACTGCGCTGGCGGTCATGATTGCGGTCCGCGATGAACATATGCTGCCAAGTTCGGAGATGTTGATGGTTTGCGTAGTATTGTCCGGGGTGGCTTGTCATTCCCCATCAACGTCAGGTTTCGAAGGAATGATTAAGAATCGGACCCGAGTTCATAGCGGATATCGTAAACAAGACTTAGGATTTAAGGAGTAATCAGATGGACGACCCCTCGACCCGGGGCAAGGGGTATAGCAGGGAAGATATCTCAGTAAGAAAATACTGCTTATCTCCCTTGCAAGCTAACAAAAATAGGATTGCCTATGGCTTCTAGAAACCTTCGCGATGCAAGGCGAATAGAATGACGACCCGTCGGGAATGGTTAACCGATGGATGAAAGCTGAAGGCGGATGCGGGAGGCGCAGCATTCGGCACCAAAGCGTCTTACTATCTCTAGCCAGAATCTTACAATCTTCGGCCGACTTTCATCGGCTTGAGTATACCGAAGGAATAGGGAGACTTACGACTACAGAAGTCAGATCCTAGATAGGAGAATCGTGTCAGCAAAGCGGTATCGTCTTGACTTCAAGATGAACTACTAATATCATGGCCTCCGCGACTCGAGATGAGGTTGATTAAATTCTTTAGACAAACAAAACACATCTTTACTTGGGTATTTGGGATAGATTTCGCCGCGTCTATTTTTTCAACTTTTAGATTATCATTAGCTCTTCATTGTTCAA